AATGAAAGCTATATAAAATTGAAAACTTTTTTTATAATATTAAAACTTTACGTATAAATAATAGTGAATGTCTATAGATAATATAAGTTTTTTAATCCTAACATTACAATGCTTATAAATTTATAATGTGATAAAACAATAAACAGAAATCCCTTTAAAATAAATATAATTCAAAATAAATGATGTATCATAAAATTAGACAAAATTTTGATAATTTTTCTATTGTTAGTTATAATTTTTTATATATATGTATTTTAAATGCATTGTTAATTAGTCGCTCATTTTTTTTAAATTATCTAACTTTCTTTTGTGTCAACGTTTTTTTATCACGGATTTTTTTTTAACTTTGTGCATTTTAATAGAAAATATTTAAGGTATTATTGAGAACAAAATATATTTTTTTTATCATCATTTCATTGATTTCTAATAAAAAAATTAAGTTCCTTTTTTATAGTTGAAAAAACTTCAGCTGTCATATTTTAATCTTGGTCAAGTATTTTTATATTAGATACAATGTGGTTAGCAAAAAATTGTCATCGAGGTAAAACAAAACAGAGTTCAATCAGACGTCAAAACACAAAACGCCATCAACCTGAACGTCTTTAAAGTATAAGCTAGTGAGGTAACCACAGTGTTCAAACTTATAAATCTCATTACACGTCTATTTCTAGTTGATATTATAAAATATAAGTGACGATATATTTTTGTATAATTTTTTTAATAGGAAGACTCTTGAATCCCTCACTAAACTTGAGAGTTTACAAATATATCCCCGATTGTCAGTAAAAATTAGCATATTTTTTTCTTAAAGCCTTTCATCGTGATATCATGGTGCTCGTTTGTACAAATATGTTCATTACTCTACTAATTATAAATGTACCTATAAAAAATAAATAACATTTAAAGGGTTCTTAAGAAAACTTTTTGATGTAAATATTAATATCCTAAAAATAGTATAATGAAATAAATTAAATGGTCAAACAATAGATTGAAATTGACAGTCATTGTATTTACCGTTAACATAAAGTACGGCGTTGTTTCGATAAAGAATTTATAACTTATGAATACTTCACGGTGTTTCATTCAGAAAAATTAAACAAGTGCAATTCATAATAACACAGTTGATTTGTCCTGTTTTTCTCGATTTTCTTATAGACATTATTGCAATTATAAATCTTACTTTTCATACATTGTTTTCGTACATTTATTTTTTTCAGATGTACAACATCATAAAGAACATGAATTATTTGACTGTCGTACTCATAAAAGGTTCAATCGCGCCATTAAATATCTTTATGCTTGTGATGAGAGAGTATCAAAACATTCATAGCTGTGATTGTTTTTAGTAAGTCAGGTTACATAGATCCGGTTGTAATAAAATCTAAGAAATTTAATTACTATATGTCGTTAAAAAATAGATTCGAAACTAGTATTTCACTGCCATCATGTTGTTAACTTGTCTTAGATCCATGTTTCAATCATTCTATCTTAGGTGGTCTAAATATACAGCCATGTGCAATACTTGCATTTCTTATCTTTTTTATTACGATTTAAGTATTTCAAAATTAATTTGATTTTAAACTTAAATGTATTGTAAAAAAATAAATCCAATACATTAAATGTAGGAAGTTATTTTTCAATAAATTTTAACAATAATTATGAGTTAACGAATTTGAAAAAAATAATCTAGATTTTTAAGTAAAGTTATATATGCTAATGAATACATATGTTTTACCATATCATTTTTCAAATATTATTGAGTTTAATGATTTAATTTGAAATATCATTAGTTTAACTTAAATTCAATTAAATATAGAACTAGTCTGAATTGAATAAAACTATTTTTCATAATAAATAAAATACAAAATGATAATTTGTAAAATGTACTAAAAAAAGTACATCAAAGAAAAAAGCTGTAAAATAATCTATTAGTGCAATTGAATAATTTTTTTTGATTTTCCGTTTCGCGTGGGTTGTACAATTTCTAATTTAATAATTGGTCTTAACAGCGTTTATAATTTATAGTATAGACAACACAATGATTTATTCTGAGATCGTGTTCCAGTTTACTTTGGTATCGTGTTATACATTCCTCTACAATCATTGTTTTATTTTGTCGTAGATGGCTAATATTGATACCATTTATATCCATACTTCTGTAAAAACCACATGGCTCGTGCCTTCGCGATGTAATAAAGAACTGCTTTCCTATTTCTACGAATACATACAATATTGTACTTTTTTTTTTATTATAATTTCACTACTTCTTGCCCATCGATAGTATATAAAAGTACTCGTGACTAAACCGTGACACTCGTTTCAGGGTGTGCACCACTATGTGTACTGCTCCAGGCAGTTTCCAACATGATTAAATATATATCTTCCCCGTCAGTTATTTATATTGCGAAACAAAATATCTAACACGCAAAAAAATCCTTGATATTGGAACTTAATGATTTCGGGTCAAATATCAACTAGCACAATTAATACTTCGCTACACAAAATAGCCTTCTTGATAGTGATTTGTATCAGTAAGAGTGTTGAAAATACATTAAAAAGTTTACACAGTTTATAAAAAGAAACATTTAAAATTGAAGTAAATTCAATGAAAACTAATAATTTTAAATAATATCACACAAACTATCAAATTTAACTACTAGCCAATAATTCATTTCATAGTTATTGGTGAATTTCAGTATGCATTGTACTAAAACGCGGGAAAACGACTGTATAAAAAGTAGGTTAACATTAATTATATTATTTTTGGTTTATTCGCATCCATGAAATATTCCGAATGTTACTATATAGTTATATCATTACCACCCGTTTAAGTCTCTGAATATAAATCATAGAGTCTTATTCTTAAACAGACAATAAAAAACTGTTAACATTAAATATTATAATCAATGGTCAAAATTATCAAGTTTTGCTGTTTTATAAATGTTTTGTTTATTAATTATTTTTTTTAATAATAATAATAATCAAATTTCTCAAAAATAATAAAATTATATCGTTTAATTGAGTATTTGTACAAAAAGTCTACACAAATATTAGTTGCTACATTAATACAAAATCTAAAAAACAATCTATATTACGCAAAAAACTCAATTTTGTTATCTAAGACTTACGTTAACAATAACGAAACATACCATTTGAATATGAGTTACACTAACTTACAAGATGTGTATCGAGTTCATGTACTGTAACTATAATGTGTAAATTAAAATTACACACTGTTTAAATCGTGATTCTTAAGGCTCAAATCTCTGTAGATACTTTTTGATTATTTTCTTAAAATTGAAATATAATTTATAGTTACATAGTTTAATTTAAATTTCTACGATTCGTGTAATATGTAATTTTTAATTGCTTTATGATTAACTATAAAAATGAACCAAAAGATTATAAAAAAAAATTAAATTAATGTAATATAATTAAACAAATATTTTTCGAACGGGTAACAATATAAATAAAATTCTAAAGAATCTTTGAAGAATTATTTAAAACATAGTGATTTAGATTCCTTTTTTTTACATTTTTAATATTTTTGCTCTTTGTAAGTTGTTATTTCCAAGTTGGAAATTAATTCGAGAATTATTTCAGGTATTCATCTTGAGAATTTTATTATAAAGCAGTTTCTTTTTTATAACACGCTGAAAATTAAGAACCTGATATTTTATAAATACGCCAACATGCGAACTTGTTTAATTATATCTTTTACACCTAATTTCATTCATGACTCGATTAGACGATAACGAAAAAATTACACCACTCGACTTATTGGTTAATTTTACTTCTTTTGCTTTGTTTGAAAACCACCCACGCAATTTTAAGGTGCTCAAACAATAGCTAACACGAATACATGACCCGTTACTGAATCTATGTGTTATAATATGATCAGATGTATACGTTCATAGGAAAAACATATATAATTATAAAAAAATTAGTAATGCGTGCACTACCGCTCTGAACTACTGACAAAAGAACAGATCGTGACTAGATGCTTCATTACCATCTGGATGACGCGGTTTGTACAGTTATAGCACACGGGTGCGAAGCAAACGGCTAGAAATTTGGTTGTTTAACTTAGGCGCTTCCCACAATAACTATATAAAGACAATACATTATGATACCGAAAAAAACAATATTGTGTAGATATAATAATTTTGAATTAAAAATGTGTAAACACAACTGGTACCAGGAAAATAAACCGTACCCGTATTAATTATGTGTAATTTAATTTAAATAAGTATTCAAAGATACGGTACCTAATCAAATAAAACCGAAACAAATTGATTTTGATTTGGTTTGTAAATAATTTAGTTAACAATGCTTAAATGTCAAACATTAAGCACTAGCTATCAAAATATATATAGTCTGCATAATAATTGATCCGTCTGTTTTGGACAAGTATGTGTCATTATCTTTTTTTTTTACTTCCAAATCGATAAAAACTGCTTTTATCATATAATATTTAACCATACATTAACGTATAAAAATGTAAATCTGAGCTATAACAGAATCTGACTAATAACAACAAATATAGCTCGACACTGTTTCCTATTTACGGTAGTATTTCTCTAAAATTGTCTAGATCTATATAAATTGAAAGAAATAAAATTATTTTTGCCGTTTTCTTTTTTCAGCATGTAGTCCATGACAGATTTAGAAAAGGTTATTTATTGTTCAAATATTTAGAAATTTCAAACAACTTACATTGATGATTCACATTAAAGAAGTTTATCAAATAAAATCATTAATTTTTTTAATTACATAAAAATATAAGTTTAATATTTCTGAGTATAATAATTATTATTTATTATATTAAATTTTTTTTTTTAATGTTTCAACAATTTATTTTTGTACTTTTTTCAGTTCAATGTTATTATATATGGCGTATACAAAAATATAAATTTTTAGAAATTAAATTAAATGCGCTCAAATAAAATAAGCACTTTACATTTAAGAAATTTTAACAGTTTTTTGTAAAGAATTCTTACCTTGATTCTCGACATGCCCAAACCATATCGCGATGAATACCCCAACTAGTAAGCATCCTATGGTCTTCGTAGGCATTCTATACAGAATAGTAACATTCCTGCATCTACCTTAAAAAATTATAAAAGATTTGATTAATTATGATTATAATCATCATATTTATAATATATGTGCTATCAGAAAAAAATACCCAAGTGTGTCGTAATACTAAATTAAATCTTTATTAATCTATGCCATTATATTTCGCTGAACTATTGACCTATAGCATATCGATTTAGCTTTATGCTATTTCTTTACATAGTTTGGATACTTATGTCCAAAGTTTGATATGAATTTCTATTTTCACGCAACACGAAGAAACATTTTCTACTAAGTTTTAAATGACCTAGGTCATTTAACACTAAGTACATTAAAATAGGAAAGCTTTCCAATATCAAATAATCAAAATTATATATATATATATATATATATATAATTATTCTTTTTTAATTTTAAGTATGTTAATAATAACATTAATATTTATTTTCTTAAAAAATTGAATGGATTATAAATTTCCATTCAATAACGAAACTATTAATATGTTTTTTGCGGTATTTTCACCACAATAACGGACCTCCTTTTATTTTATAACTGTTTCTTACTGTTGTAAACAAAATAAAATTGTACACATGTGTGTATATAAAACGCAGTCTTTCTTGATAGTAATTATTGTTGTCACTTTAAACACATTACATTGTTACTTTACTATTTTGTGGTACACATAAAATATAGAAATAAAAGCTATCCAGTAAAACTACACGAAATATTTTATGCGCACAATGCGAGCTGAGAATTTGATGGCAATTCTAATTAAAATCAGAAAAATATAAATTAGACCATTTGACAAATATTGTCTCAAAGGAACGTTTAAAATCTTTAGAATCTTCCAATTGATTTGTTATACTGATAATGTTTTATTAATTATTTTCTTAGTATTTTATGATAATTTGACGTTAAAAAAACTTGAATAATAATTATTTTACTATTTTTAGATCAATATAATAACATAAATTAGCATGATTAAATATTAAATAAATGTCTGGCGCCTCTTAAAAAAAATTGTTTTTAACTACAAAAACTTAATGTATCGATTTTTGCGTAAAAATAGTTTCCTGAAATAAAATAGTAATTACTGCGAGAAAAATGTATAATTATAATTATTCCATAAATGTGATTTTAAAGCATTTAACTTTCATTAAAAACAATATGTAATACTTGGAATAAAAAATAAAAAATAAAAATAGTCAACATTTATAAATGCGTGTTAAAAAATGGACAAACAGAAAGATGTTTCATAATTTTAAATTTAATTACATGCGTTGGTTTGTACATATTGGTATTTTTAAATAAAGTTGCATCGAAAGAAATAAACAACTATTACTCAATAATAATTGATAATTGATATCTTTCTTCCAATCATATATACTAAAGTTAGATTTTTTTTCTACTTTAGACCTTGCCTTGTAGTTGCCAGATACCCTAAGGTTAGATATTTTTCTATATTATATTTAAAAAATTTTAAATTAATAAATTAAAATTAATAAATTTAAAATACTAAATTTAAATTAATTTAAAGAATATTTTTTTAATTTTATGGACATGATGTTTAGTTATTAGTCTGTAAATATTCATATAGTTGATCATCAGTGTGTAATAACTAAAAATAAGGTTAATCGCAGTGGTTATAATAGTAAAGAATGATAACAGCATCATACATAAAAGCATAATAAATACTAGTACTTAATTGCAAGTTATTGCTTGATTAAAGCAGTTAGTGTGTTAAAACTACTCTTACTTGAATTCCTTGATAACAGTCCATAATGCATTAAGGAGAGATGATTAGTGAAGGTTTAACAATTGTCAAATAAAAGATAGAATGTTATACAAGTGTATATTATAAATGAATAATTAGTTATTTTGAAAGAATGTTTTGTAAATGAAATCAAAGACTTACATTAATAATGAGACACCAAGCCATAATTTGAGTATTAAAGCACAATATAAAGATAGTTGTTAAATTAAATAGGAGAGTTAAACTAAGCATTTAATTGTGATCGAAAGAAGAGAAAAGACAAGAGTGAGTCATTGACAGATATCAAAGGACAGAGCAGGTCCTAGAGGGCTCTTAGCTTTGTTATATTATATTTAAATCATAGTAATACAATTTAAAGTGACAATAAAAGTTATTTAATCAAAATAAAGGTGTCCTTTACAATACGGTGCTAGGATTGATTTGTATTGTATTATTGTTTGTTTAGGGTAATAAACTCATAATGACGATTACTATGCCATATATTGCTAATTTTTTAAGTGAAACTGTATGATCTCATTCATTGCTTGTTCGGTAAGGACTATGTAAATAATAATTAAATTATTACACGCCTCAATGGTGTCAGTATGTCTTTGCTTGGCGTAGCTAAAATGTATTGATTTTTAGAGTTATAGAAGAGAATATTAAAAGTGTGTTACAAACTTTAACTGAGTAATTGATCATTTATAGATTTACTGATTTTAGTAGTATCATATTTGAAGAAACTATGTGTAGGTTGGAAACACCTCTAAAATCAGTCACATCAATTGAGTAACCAGAGCACAGTTTTGAAGTACTAAGTTTAATAAAAAAAAAGAATCAAAAAGAAGTGCCATTGAATAGAGGGGGGGGGCTTAGGGCGTAATTAAAAGAGAAGTATATGAGGGTAGCTTGTCTCTCCAAATTTACCGGAAGTAATCAAAAGGAATTTTTTAAATTTATGATCAGGTAAATGTAATGTTAAAACGAGAGACATTCAACTTAATTGACTTAGTCATTCCTACGAAGAGCTTAAAACTCCATGAACTCCTGATTAAACTAATAGTTATTATGAATAGAGGTAACTAAAATAAAATTCTCAGGGGTGGTGTATTAAGTTTTTCATCCACACTAAAAGTAATTTTATACAACAATACACATAATTTTTTTTAATTTTAAGAGGTTCATTCTTCAACTGGGGAAGATTACCCCTCCTAGTTAGGCATAAGTCATTACGTCAAAATCTCTTTAATTACAAAGAACATTTCTCCCCCTAAAAATATGTCTTAAACATTTCTGTAGACTATGCATTTGAAATTTATTAACTATGCTGTAACATAAGTAGTGCATTATTTTATGTTAAGGAAAAATAGTACAGCACTTTCGTCTTATATTATTATCAATGTATGTGATGATAACCATATGTACAGCTATGGAATTAACCTATATTTTATGTTTAGTATATAAGAAGAATATTTGATTGAATCGAGCAGCAGTAGATATCATTATACTCTGTAACTGTAACGTGTAGCGAAATTGATACATTTACAATGAGCACCGTGTTCGCTCATTGACAATAGTAATCAAGAGGCTATAATTTAATAATAATACAGCTAAGTGTTATAATAATAGGTATATCTGTACATAGGTAAAGTCCATTCGCTTTCACAATTTTTACCCTTTTGTGTTTAACATTTACAATCAAAATATATAGTTTAATGAGCATTACCGGCTACGACAGCCTGAGGAGATTTGCGCATAAACATGAAGAGAGAATGCTCTATATATTATTATAATCATTAATCTATATAACACGCTCTTAACAATAGAAGTAGTGATGACACATCCGTTATTGCTCAAACTTGACATGGCTGTGTTTTTTTTAGTAATTACCAACAATTTTAAAATAAGATTTAACAATACTAGATAAGTAGAATTTCATTTTTATAACATATTCGACAATTTAATTGGCCGGAAACTTGATTTTTTAATCACACATCAAATAAACTCAAGTTAGATAAACATTTGACCTCACTTAATTTCAATTTTAGAATTACAGTAGATTACAATTAAAATAATTTTCTGATTAATAATCTCTTATTGTAATTTATTTCTGTTCATCATTTAAGCAGGCACAAATTTGAAAAAAATATTTGAGAGAGCTATTTTATTATTTTTGATAGCATGAGAATTAATTTTTGATATTTTTTAAAATTACTTTTTTAGTTGTTGACTTATTAAATAATGATGAGCTAATAATTACTTTTTCTAGTAGGGGGAGAATTATTTCTATATTCCCCTAGGAACACATCTATATTTAACAAATATTAAAGAAAAGAAAATCTAAAAAATTATAAAATATACTATTCAATCAAATGCCTGGAAAGAATAAAAATATGTTCGAAATAACATATAATAAAATAAAGAGGATTTATTTATATATAAAAAATAACGAAATAATTAAGAATCTCTTCAAAATACAATATATATTTTCGTGCAAATATTACTTTTAAAATAAAATTATGATTATTTCACAATTATATAAGAAATACATATATTTACTAGTTTGAATTAACCACATAAACATTACACTTAAACATCTCAGACATGTCATGTCAACAACACTAAGAGTATTTTTATATTTTGAAAAATAAACATAAAATTATTATATGTAGCAAGTGGTACTAAGCCCCTAGACTATTGATTTGTTTTGTTCTCAAAAACAAACATTTTATTATATTTTTTAATGAAAATTTAAAAGTGCTACCCAGGCAGTCGCTTGACTCGCCGATACACTGAGTCTATGCACTATCAGTGACGAATTTAAAGGTGTAGCTAAAATGGTTATGCTTGTATCCTATTTGCCCTGTAAACCAACAATATTTTAAGAAAAAAATGTCACAAAAAATTTCTTGGTATTAGTTCCTACTGAAATATTTTGGATGAGTCACTGCTTACACTTATAAATAAATATGTATATTTATATCATGCATCAAAAAGGTTTTTTAAACATTTAACAGAATTACTTACAATTAACGATGAGCTATTTATTAAATCGTTATTTAGTTTTTATAATGAAAAAGTTTTAAACATTATAGTAACGTTATTGTTTGATACAAATTGTTTAGGAACAACATCAATTTTGGGGCGGTTACGCCCGACAAAACAGAGCACGTTAATATGTATTTTAATGAGAACGTCGTTGTGTATTGTATGTTCAAGTGCACAAAAGTAAGTGGCAACATCAAATGAATTAGGTTAATTCACTTAAACAGTTATAAAAATAATAAACTTGTGCAGTACTATACATAACTACAATTACAACTTTACATTTTCGTCAAGTTTATTTATGTGTAAAAAAGTAACCAATATCAAAATATTATATTAAAATAATTAATTTAATTGGAAGGTTTTAACTCCTAACATAATTTTTCATCCACACTATATTTAAAATTATTATGCTATATTTTTCAAATGATATAAAAAAATCATAAGTTTCTAAAATTTTAATTTTCGAGTTAAAAGTTTAAGAAATATTGCGGTTTTAATAAATGAAAATTCTACTTTAATAACTATTCCCATATTAGAAAAATTCTTAATAAAAAAAATATTTTTAATTCTTTTTTAACTTTTTAAAATTTTAAAACACCAAATGTTTTGCTCTTTTCTTGCAAAAAATTATTATGGACTAATAACAACTCTAAGAAAAGTACTTATTGAGTTTCCTACCTTTTTATACATTGAGTGAATATGTAGCGCGAGTAGAGCATACATTATAAATATCAGTACGAACTGTATTCACTTGCGTTTCATACTCACACTCAAGAAGTTTTTTTCCTAAAATTGCTATTAACCCATTAAATTTTTTTGTAACAAAAATAGCTAGAAATTTATTTTTTAACTTGAAAAAATAATGCATCTAATGTAGTCAAAAACTGTAAAAATTACTTAAAAATAAACTAACATAAATATTTGCTGAATCAAAAATTGGTAGAACAAGGTATATCTTTTCTTTTTTACTTTTTTTTTCTGTAATTCATCTTTTAATTTCCAAACCCATTCAAATGCATATTGACAACTTAACCATCTTACTTTCGTGTGGTAAAGATGGTCAGAATAATCTGCGTCGACATCAATCAGAAATTCTTGGAATTGTTGGTATACCAAGCCCCGAGATCGAATCGTATTAATTAGTTTTGAAACCACATTAAGTCTTCTTCTTCTTCTTTCTCGCCTTAATCCCAACTACTTGGAGTCGGCCACCCTTATCCTAAACTTCCACTTGACACGATCACCCACATCATCTACGCTCACATAAGCCGTCTTCATATCGCATTCAATTACATTTCTCCATCTCTTTTTTGGTCTTCCTCTACCTCTTCTTCCTTCAACATTTATTTCTATAACTGTTCTTACCGCTTCCGATTCCTCTCTCCTCGTAACATGACCAAATCATCTAAGTCTATTTTCACTCATCTTATCTACGATTGACGTTACATCTATTATAGATATAATACTCCCTTTTACATGTTCGTAAACATGGTATATATATTTATATAAAATAACTTTTGTAATCGACCATAATCTTTAGCGCAAACATATACTATAAAAACTTGTTTAGTCAATCTTTTTAAATTAATTTTTAATTTATTGTATAATTTAATTTATTCAATATTTGAGAGTGGATGCATTTTACGAAGAAATATGTGCATATTTCTTTTTTTATCGTGTAGTTTATAGTTAAAGATAAATAGTAGATTTGAATTATGAAGTTTATTTTCTAATAAAAATAGATATATTATTTGTATATTTTTACGAAATCAAGAATTGTGTTGAGCCATTTAATTTTTTGTTTATTTCAACGTAAAATGATTGCCTAACAACGTAGATTTTATCAAATATAAAAAAATTATATTTCAATTAAAAGTTATTTAACTATGAAATTGCTACTGTTACTTATAAGAATGTACAGTTTATTGTATCTAATTACCACCAATCAAAAGTTTTAACTATCTCTTACATCAATGAGTTAATATAAATGTTCATAAGCTCTCTAAATTAACTGATTAGTTATGGCTAATATACGTATATAATGAACCGTAAAACTTTTTGATATTTTACTCAATCAAGATGTATCAATTAAAATTTCTTGTGAGAATAGATGTTAAAGATAAGAAAATACATAATACACATTCGATATGATGACGTCTATAATTTTTACCTATAATTAAAACTTAAGACTTTTTACTAAAAATTTGATATGGATAAGGTTGATTCGCATTCCATTTGAAATCATACTATTATTAAATATTTGTAAATAATTAAAAATAATTCATATAAAGCAGGCATGTCTCCCGAAAGACATTGACTAGGGAAATCGTTTATTAAAATTTTTAAGAATGGCAAAAATAGTAGTCGAAGTAGCTCATAATAAGTAAAGGTATGCTCTCAATCTTTGTTTATATCATAATTATGTATGTTTAACTAAATTTTATACAATATATAATAATATTACAATAATTTTAAGTTTTTACTTATAAATGTTCATGATATTGATTCAAGAAAGATTAAACCAAAAAATTACCGACCAACATTTTTATGTATTCCACGTAACTTATACGACAGTGTACATAAAAAGAAATTTTTTTTCTTTTTGAAAGCTTAAATTTTATTGTTTCTTTCAAATTAAAAAAAAAAGGTTGTTTTTACATCTTTTACTCATTTTATGATATCAGCAAACATTTTTTTTAACAGCAGTTTATAACTTTTAATTTTTTAACTGTACAAAATACATCCTAAACTGGTTGATAACAACTGTTAATCAATTATTAAAAAAAAACTAATTCAAACAGTATGAAATTCTACTTGGAGGGAAAGTAATTTGCTTACAGATAAAAAAAAATCAGACCAATGATAAGCTGAAAATAAAATTATTACATAAATAATATAAAAAAAATTTAGAGGGGTAGTAGAAAACTTACTTACATTTATACCTCATAACAAAATCTTAATTAGGATTTTGTTATTAATGTCCCAATTAATCAAGACACTAAACTAGAACTACTTTATTACTCAGGTTTTATATCAAATTTTTAAAAATTACGGGATATTTAGGGTCAAACATTTAATTTTTAAGTTAATTTGATTATTTAAGAAACAATATTAGTCACAAAATCAATATAAAAATTAATAAATAAAATCACTAGTAGTAGTGAAATACTCATCAAAGTGGCCGATGTTTTATTTAACATAAAACATTTATAATCAAATAATTGAAACCTTTCAAAACTCCATATAAAAATTGGTGACTTAATATGTTTCTTAAGACTAATTTAATTATAATTTATATTGGGTCATTTTTAAACTGCCATAAAATTGCATACGAAATTTAAAAGTATGCGTTTTCACATATTTTAAGGTGCACCGTGATTTTATCAATTGTGTCTTTTAAAAATATAATTTGTATAATAACGGTCATCTAAATTTTATTAATAATAGTTAAATAAAAATGTATTTAGTCGTTTTACCAATTGATAACCATTCCGTGGTATTTCCTTATAAACTTTATTTTATAACTTGTATCCGTTGAATTTAGAAAGAAGTTAATCCGACAAATTCACAAGTTAACATTATCAATTGCAAACCAATCACTTTTTAATTTACACAATATTATTAAAGTTGTTTTACGCGATTATGATAACACACGAAGAAAAACTACAATTCTCATAAGTGCGCCACCGAATTGTCCGACTGAACGTTGTTTACTACCGATCTCGTGGAGCAGTCACCAGTCGGCAATATGCATGATGCGTGACCATACTGACACAAAAGTACCTCCTCTCACTCTATTTCCATGCACCTGTCGGAGGGGCATTGAGCCTCAGTTTTATCGTTTCACAGCCCATATTGTTAGTCATTCGATTTTTGAACTGTTTTAGCAACCATGACCACCAAGGTGGTCCCTATGTGTGTGTTTAACGAGTACTTCCAACATAAAAATCAGGATTCCCCTCGGGTTGTTTTTGTAGTTATTTAAAAATCAAACAAGTATAAATTATGATGCCGGTAGCGATTTTTTATTAATAATAATATGTTGCCAATCGATAAAGCAAACTTTCGATCTACATAACGTAGTGTTCGATCGATCAAAAAAGAATTACTAATTAAAATTAAGTAAATTAATAAAAACTTAGATAAAAGGCAAAATTTACCGTGTTACAATAAACATTATAATAGCATTTAAAAGAGTACTTATCTAAATTACATAATAGAAATATTTAGTATTACATCAGAAGAAATTATCAGGTTTGTCCAGTTTAATAATTATTAATTTATTTCAATCTTTATAATTTGTAAACCATTTTAATCTTGAGTAATTAGTTAATAACACAGAAATCAAGAAGCATACGTTAAAAAAAAAAGACTTAAAGTGAAGAGAAAAAACCCAGCACAGGGGGGTCGCGGCACAGTGGTGACGTGGTATAGATGGATCAAGTATAATGATATCTGACAGTGATTAAAATCACTATAAAAAAAAAACGCTTCGATGCAAATCTTTAGATAGTGTTTAATTTTAAAAAATTGGTGGATTATTCCAAAAGCTTCATAAACTGCTAGTTCCTTATTAATATCCTGATTAAGACAAAGTATGTCGAATAAAAAAGAGATTTTTAAAAAATAGTATTTCCCATAAAAAAATTATATTGATCAATACACTTTTCAATAAGTTATAGCATTATAAAGTTAAAAATGTAAAAAATAAAATCGAGAATTTTCACACAATAATAGCATTTGGTAGCCATTTTCACCTTGAAGATAAAATAAAGTCCGAAATTTTTTTTTTCCATGATAAAGTATATTACATTAGCTTTAATTTAAGATATATATAAAAGTGTCAGACTTTCCGGAACACTTTCAAAATTTAAGTTGAAAAAGTCAATTTTTTGTGAAAAAGTTGTCATTTTGAATCCCCCCCTGTAGGCAGGTAAAAAGTCAGATTTATAAAAAAAATATACCAAATGATAGGTAAAGACATCGTGCATCTATAAAAAAAAATATTATATTGATCCATACATCTTTCGAGAAGTTATAGCATTATAAAGTTAAAAATATAAAAAAGAATTTTTTTACAAAAATCGTATTTTTTTTATTAAGTTTAATGTCTGTTTTCACCATGAAGATAAAATAAAGTCCGAAATTTTTTTTTACCATTATAAAGTATATTACATTAGCTTTAATTTAAGATATATATAAAAGTGTCAGACCTTCCGGAACACTTTCAAAAGTTACGTTGAAAAAGTTCTACTTTCTATATGCATTTTTATGTTTTGAATCCCCCCTGTATTTAGGGAAATGGTCCGATTTAAAAAAACAGTATGTCGAATGAAAGATCTATATAAATACTACTTCTCATAAAAAAATTGTAATGATTCATACATTTTTCAAAAAGTTATAGCATAATAAAGTTAAAAATGGAAAATACAAAATCGAAAATTTTCACACAAAAATAGCATTCGGTAGCCATTTTCACCATGAAGATAAGATAAAGTCCGAAATTTTTTTTTTTCATGATAAAGCATATTACATTAGCTTTAATTTAAGATATATATAAAAGTGTCAGACCTTCCGGAACATTTTCAAAATTTAAGTTAAAAAAATTAATTTTTTGTGAAAAAGTTGTCATTTTAAATCCCCCCTTGTGGGCAGGTTAAGGGTTAAATTTATGAAAAAAATATACCAAATGAAAGGTAATGATATTATGCATCTATATAAAAAAGAATTATATTGATATGTTTATTTTTGAAAAAGTTATGGCACTTTTAAGTAAAAAAAATTGAAAAAATTTCGAAAATTAGCGATTTTTAAATTTGTAATTTTTTTGGAGGTTTCCCCCATTTACGGGGAACGAGGGCATTTTTTTCAATTTTTGAGGGTAATGTCTTCGACTAGATACAATTTGTGATCTTTTGACGTATCATTGAAAGAAATTGGTTCGGTGAGAGCTGAGAAAAAGTGGTAACAGACACAAAAAAAAAAAAAATAAATAAAAAAAAAATAAACACATCTTAGTAAAACCAATACCTTCTCAGCTTCGCATCGAAGCTAAAAGAGGACTAAGTTCTTCTATCTCTCAATACGGTTAATATGTGTCATCTTTTAAGAATTTTTCAAAATGTAAGTAATTATATGAGTAGAGACGGAATTACCTATATGTATATAACTAATTCTGCCTATAGGGAAAGTTTTCACGGGCATCGCCAATAAGAAAGTTTCGTCGAAAAAATTCTAATTTTGTTTTTTTTACAAAAATGTATAATGATTACTACTATAGAAGATAGATACTTTGTTATATAAATATTATCAAATAAGAATAGAAAATTAAATTCGACCCTCCTCTCAAATTTAACTTAAAATCATGCTTATGTACTCCTAATACACATATTTTTCTTAAATGAATAAACTATCTAAATTGTATGGACGTAGAATAAATTTTAGTGTAAATACATAATTTAATATTATAAAATTCTAATCAAAAGTTTTCACTGACAATCATGGAGTCATATCCCTCCATGAAAAAAAAATTATATGATAAAAACACAATTTTTTTTTCGTTTGTAAGGTAAAGTGAATAATTTTCTTACGCATATCTCTCCCAAAAAAGAACCCCTAATTACGCCACTGAATTTTTTTAATGTTCAAAATCAAATTTTAAATTTAAAAATTCGTATTTACCAAGGTTTTATCCACCTGAATAATACAATCTGTGATATAATCACAAAAACGGGATCTTTCTTTAAATTTAAATAAACCGTTTTTCTCCAAGCATCAACTACCTATAACTTATTAATGAGTCTATATACCAATATTTTTGTCATTGCATGACTACAAAACAAACACATTACATAAATTTTACTACTATGTCCCTTATAAATTTTCGGGGTGTGTCTAGACTCCCCGTGCGCACGCCTAGTTCTATAGATAAATGAATCACTTAAAATAGTATAGGACAGCAATCTCCCTATGTTTTTTCTTGTCCCTTTAAGCATTAGCAAAAGCATTTTTTTGTTTAATAAATCAAAACATGTCTATTGCAATATTTAATTTCGTACCATTAATTTTTGTAATGAATACAGTTGTACCACATAAATATTAACATACACGTCATTTGTTCAAAATACAATTTTTATATCTATGTTAATGTTATTATTTGTTATCAGTCAGTTTAAACATCTTTACATTGTTGTACATAAATATTAAGAGCAATGTTATTAATTAAAAAAAAAAACTTAGAAATTCATAGCTTTTTGGTTCAAAAGAATTGTAACATTTTTTTTTTTATGTTTAATGATTAAACTGTAAAATAATTTTTATTCACGTAACGATTATTTGACAATTAACTAAATATATTGTAGTATATACCGCGTAGTGTTATTTGTAAATATTGAAAATTATTTTTTGAAACATTACAAGTTAAAATTTCTAATTTGGTTAAAGTGTCATAATAATTGTACTAAATTTTGAGTTTTAAACGTAATTCAATATTTTATACTTTAAACACATTAATGTGAATTTTTTTTGTCAATAAAACTATGTCTTGATACCTTTAATCTTAACAAATTTTATAATGTTTACTGAAATCAGTGAAGCAATTAAAAAAAAAAATTTCAATCTAGTTAATAATCTTTTAGATGAATTCAATGAAAATGTAAGTCTGTTTTGTTTTATTACTATTTACTTTATTTAAATAAAAATATACTAGTCATGATATTCTGTAGCATAAAGACACATTCAATTTTAATTGTTTTGATAAAGAAAATTCATATAAATGGTTTTGGGATTTGATGTTTCACTATGTATCACAAGATGATAAAAAAGTTTTGCATAAATCATGTTTATCATGTATAAGACTATTAAGGTAAATTTCTATTTATTGTACATAAATATATAAATTCAATTATCGATAGTTTAAAATATTACACATTTAATTAAAAAATGTTAATCCTTTTTTTTAAGTCGTGACAAAACACAGTTAATTGAATCCATTCATGAAAATCACATAAATATTCTATTGGAATCTGCTAATCTTCTTAATGATTCATTGTGCATATTTATTACATCAGAAAATAAAGATGGTTAGTATATTAATTTTTCTAAATTTGTAAATAATTTATAAATATTGAAAATTACATAAAATTCATTTAAATAGAAGTAAAAAATTTTTATAGTTATAATAGAAAGTCTCAAGTGTTTATGCAATATTATTTATCAGTGTGAAAATGCTCAAATAATATGTTGTTCCAATAAAACTGTGGATTGTCTTATATTAAGACTCAGAACTTATTATCAGTGTGAGGTGCCACATGATATTAAGTATTTTGATATTAAGCTTTTATTTCTTCTTACTGCATTTAATAATGAACTAAGGTAACTATTATATATTATTAGATTACAGATATTATTTACGTTTTGTTAACAATCTCCTTTCTAGGATGAAGATTTCCAAAGAACTGCATGGTATCACTTATCTGATGGAAGTTTTAGATAATATTTTACGTAATATTATTGATGATTCATCAACCAATAAATCATGTTTTAATGTATATTGTTTTATTTAATTATTTTTATTTTTAACAATTATATTACTGCTCATTAAAACTTTTTCTACTGTGTATTGATTATTAGGAAGAAAATGTATCATTAAGTTGTGAGATCTTAAAAGTACTTTTCAATCTAACTGTAAATCCAATATGCAATCCATCAAATGACGATGATTATTCCACATGGGTAAGACTTATATCAATATTGCGAGATTTACTTGTAACTTCAACCTATGCTACTATTCATCAAGATAATATTATCAGGTATTAAAAAAATCAATATAAATTAGATTCATCAATTGAATACAACATTTTATTTGAAGATTTACAAAGAAAAAATTCAATTTTGTAAAAATTTTTTTAAAAAATTTTAATGAAAGCTGTGTTAAAATTTGTAAATATAATTAAAACATGTTCTGATCACATAATTGAATGCTACACAAATGTATATATAGTAAAACTAGTACTTAAAATACTTAAAACTAAAGTAATATATAAATCTCATTTTTCTATTAGTTTACATTTACCCAAAATAGAATTTTCTTGTGTACAGGCTCTGTGCCATAAATGATGGCATTTTTTTTATATAGTTTATTTTATATTTTAACAAAAAACAAATTTTATCACACATCAGCCGCCCTCATATTACTTTCAATAACATCCTTGTATTTCTATTTTGGTCTTTCTCTACTTCTTCCTTTAACATTCATTTCCATAACTGTTTTCACAGTGTTTAATTCTTCTCTACTCATAACATGACCAATCCATCTAAATAAATTTTCTGTCATCTTATCCGCAATTGATTTTTCAAGATATGGAAATTATAGAACCTACTATAATATTGTATAATAATTTTAAGAAAAATAATCAAAATAATTATTTCAATACAAAATTAACATTTATAGTAGAAAAAAAAATATACATCAATAAACTTAATGCTCTGTCAATATTATTCAAAGTGAATTTTTTGTTTTTATATTTATTTATACATTTTTATCTTAATAAGATAACTTTTTATTTAACTTTAAATTAATTTCTAGTAATGTTGTGAACTTATTGACCAATGTGCCACCTCAATGTTTAGATCAGTTGTTGATAAAAAGTCATTGGACTAATGTACTAGCTTTAAATGTTTTAATAGATTTCCTGGACAATCGTTTATCAACTTTGGTAACTTAATCAAAATTATTTTTTTTTATCAGCTAAAATGATTTATCTTTTAGCAAGTCTTATATGAAAATGTTTCACCTACATTAATAGTTTTGTTAAAAGGATCAAAGGCAATATCTAAGTTTCGTTGTTCAGTAAGACAACATATTTTACCTCCTTTAAAAGATGTAATGAATAGACCCGAACAAGGAAATACATTGCGAAATAAAATGTGTCGCCTGTTAACCACTCCTAATGTTAATTTACGAGATCTTGTTGCTGAACTTCTTTTTGTATTGTGTAAAGAAAATGGTATGTATAAGTAGAATACTAAATGGCAGGTTTGCCATTTGTTTTTTAAAAACATTTTTTAAGATACGGGTAATTCTAACATAAACAATTTGGGATAATCTATTAGGGTAGTACATCATTTCAATAATTGTGTTCATTTATGAATTCAAAAATATTAAGGTGGGTCTGAGCCTACTCTTGGCGCTGTTGTTGTAGTTTTCTATGTGCAAACATTTAAAAAGTATATATTTTTAATTTTAGTTGGAAGAATGATCAAGTACACTGGATTTGGAAATGCTGCTGGATTATTTGCTAATCTAGGTTTACTTAATAAAACACCAAATCCAGATTATTCTTCTGATAGCGAGGATAGTGATACAGATGAATACCTCAAATACAAAGACCAGTAATTTTCATTAATGTTATTATTTGAATTATCATAAATGAAGTAATTTTTTAGGATAAATCCTGTACTTGGATGTTTTGAACCACCTAAACCTAATCCATTTGAGTGTATGTCAGAAGAACAGCAAGAACATGAAGTAATGCAGTTAGTTTGTAAAATGGACAAACTTACTAGGTAAAATTCATTTGATATCTTATGGAATAACTTAATTAAATATTTGTTTTGATTTGTTTAATAAAATGTTGGATTTTTTAGGGAGGGTGTAATCCAACCATGCAAGATTGGAGATGATGGACGTCCTAAACCTATAGAGCATGTACTACAACTTCAAGAAGAGTTATTAAGTCATTTCAACAATACAAAAAATAGGGATAATTCTGATGATGTGAATGATTATTGATAAGAATTAGTTTTATTGTTAAATTCTGACTTATTATGGACAACTTTAAATTATTTCTGTTTTTACATTATAAAATTTACATTTTCAATTTTAATAAAATATTATTTCCTGTTAAACATAGAAAATAGTTAATTAATTATTGTAACACATTTTTTTTTAATATTTCAATTTCAATGAACAATTTATGTAGAAATTGAAACATTTACGATTATCAAATAAATAATTTAGTATATTTTCAACTAATTATTTACTCTCTTGTGCAGAATTGGGTTTAGTACTTTGAGGATCATAATCAAATGATTCAGATCAAATACCCCTAATTGTGAAATAATAGTCAAAGACTTTTCCATAAAAAAGTATTTAAATGGTAAAGATGTATTTTTGAGGTGATAGTAAAAGTTTTTTTAACATTTAACACTCTCCATGAAAATCTTGAAGTTAACTTTAAATTAGTGTGTTAATAAGTAAATGATAAAATTAAATTAAAAAAACTTGACTAATAACTTAACTGTATAACATTAAAATATCATTAGTTATCTTGATGAAACAAATTCAGAAAGAAGTTGAAATTTTAGCAAATACACATGAGAATCATCTATATTATCAAACAATATTAAACATAGTATTACAACGTGTAAAAGTGTAACAGTTAAAGTGTTTATGTCAATTAACAAAAAAGGGTTTTGATGATGTGACATAGATCAAAATATTCAAGTGTTACCTTTTAGACACCTGGACATCGATAATTGTATTAATACATACATTAATCTTTAAAAATTGTTTGTATTACATTTTATAAAATTCCAAGGTTAGATTTAAAATTAATGAAAAAATAGATTTTTATTCTATGAAATTTATGAAAATTTGATTACTTATTTTGATTCTTAGACGCATGTCAACTATAGTAAAAATTTGTGCCACCTTAGATTCCTTTTCAATGGTCCATAATTACTAAATTAATTTTAGTTTTAATTAATGGTCCATAATTTATGCGAAATATTAAGGAATTGTAAAGTTCAAATCATAAATACTCTTACACACTATACTTGGATAAAGTCTTATACAATAAAATATTATTATTTTTTTTTATTTCTTAAATGAATTGTCATTTTATACCTATTATAACCACACCAAAGTTGACTAATCAAGGGCAGCAAGGGATATTTTAGTTGAAATTTTACACATATCTATGCTTTAATAATGAATTAATACAATATGTGTATCACTAGATAACACTACAATAAAACAATATTATGTTTACGATTGGTTATAACCTGCAATTTTATAGTTTAATCATTATAAGTTAAACTTTTTTATTAACTTAAGTTAGTCATACCAAAAAATTGAATGAAAGACATTAAACTAAAAGAGGATACATACAACATCAATTTAATAGTATCATAAGTGAAAAAATGAAAACATTTTGTATTAAAATTTCATTTTTTTAATTTTACAACAATAAAATCAGTTATTAGGCAGTTATTGAACAACACAAATACACTACAACTATAAATTTGGAATTGTTTTAATCTAATTCATTTGTAAGTTCCATATCATCTAAAATTGGCCATTCTTCAAGTGATTTGGATGATCGATAATTATATTTCATGTAATCTGGTTTTTTATTACAAATATCCATGTATGCATTACATAACCGTCCAAATTCACTAATTGTTAATTGAAAAGGTCTTGTTTCAGGTTCAATACATGCAGCCTTTAACATTTCTTTAGAAAGTTCTTCTCTAACAGGTTTTGGAAATAATATTCTGTAAAATATGTATGATATTCAAATTGAAAATTAGGAATAATATAGATGGATAATCATTTTAATTTTTATATAATATAACAAAAAATTTTTAATTTGTAGCAAAAATGATAAAAAAATGTATATATTTTAGAATAAAATTTGGAATTTAAATGAACAAAAAGTATGGAATATTTCCTCTTTGAGATTGATGAGATTAAAATTAAAATAAGAAAATAATATATAAATTGATTTCTCTTCAAAATAGTTTAAATATTATATTGTTATCTAATTAGAAATACTCACTCTATACCACGTACACAATACTTTTGTCTGTAACTAAAGACAGATCTTACAACTTTTTCTACAACATCAAAAGGCAATTGAATTACAGGATTCCTTAATGGAACTAACCTTACAACCCCAACATCCACTTCAGGCTTTGGTAAGAAAGCTCGACCTTTAACATGTATTAATTTACTATAAGTATACTAAAATAATAAGTCACTTAGTACCAATATTTTTTTGGCAAAAAAGTTGTTTTTATTTACTCATTATATTATTGAGTATGTTCTTAAGGTATACAGATGTTTGGAATTACTTATACAATAATTTTTAATTTTTAAAAATGGATCTAAATTGAGAACCATATAAATTATAGAGTAATGAGTCAAAACTTGCTACTGTCATTTTCTAATTTTACAGAAGAGCAAATAAGCAAAAAAATACATTTAACACAATACAAATTGTAGTTTTTAAATATATATATATATATATATACATTTTTATATACTATTATTAAATTTTGCATTATTTTTATCATATGAGTGGATATTAGGGTGGTCTAAAAGTGACAAAAAAAAAATTTTTTTTTTAAGTTATACTCCTACACTTGAAAATTGTTCTACCTGGTTTTATATACAATTCTCAAGAAAAAAAAACACTAAAAATTAATTTTTGAGCCATCCCAAGCTATTCGAAAATTTTTAACTTAAAAAAAAAATAAAATAATAATGAAAACTATTTTATGTATACGTTCTTATATTTTTTTATCAATAAGTCAAGCTATATTATATAAATCATTTTTAACATTTCTAATTTTACTTTCTAAAGAATTAAAAAATTATATAAAAGTTGAATTGCTTTTTTTTAAAGTTTGTTTGCTGCAATCAGGGTAAATCTTCCGATGCTCAGAAACTACTTGTAAGAGAAACTGAAGTTGATCCTCATCATGAGTAATTTTGCGATTAAGGTCTTGAATCAATGAAACTCCTCTTTCTGCCACGTCATTGGTAACTCGAAGATTCTTAAAAACTTCCTCTGCTTTTAAGTAGCTTTTAGACTCGGTCCAGTTTACCACGTCATTTTTCAAAAATTCATCGACACCAAATTCTGTGAAAATTTGTATTGTATTTTTGTTAGCTAAATCATGAAGCTGTAAATTTTCTACATCGTGTTGGTCAATTTTCGGTCTTANAGTTCACTGCAACTTTGGCGGCATGTGCTCCAAATAATGACTTGCAACTGATAAAGACCTTAATAAAATATGATAATCCACATATTTCAAAAGCCACTGTAAAAAAAATGATGGGTCATTTATGGTATTTGTCAGATGAGTTAGTTGGTCTTTGTCTGTTCGACAAAAATGTCCCTGTTGAAACCAAATGTAAGATAATTTACGCCATAAATAATAACCCCTCTCCAGAAGTTCCCAATGTAAGACCGAAAATTGACCAACACGATGTAGAAAATTTACAGTTTCATGATTTAGCTAACAAAAATACAATACAAATTTTCACAGAATTTGGTGTCGATGAATTTTTGAAAAATGACGTGGTAAACTGGACCGAGTCTAAAAGCTACTTAAAAGCAGAGGAAGTTTTTAAGAATCTTCGAGTTACCAATGACGTGGCAGAAAGAGGAGTTTCATTGATTCAAGACCTTAATCGCAAAATTACTCATGATGAGGATCAACTTCAGTTTCTCTTACAAGTAGTTTCTGAGCATCGGAAGATTTACCCTGATTGCAGCAAACAAACTTTAAAAAAAAGCAATTCAACTTTTATATAATTTTTTAATTCTTTAGAAAGTAAAATTAGAAATGTTAAAAATGATTTATATAATATAGCTTGACTTATTGATAAAAAAATATAAGAACGTATACATAAAATAGTTTTCATTATTATTTTATTTTTTTTTTAAGTTAAAAATTTTCGAATAGCTTGGGATGGCTCAAAAATTAATTTTTAGTGTTTTTTTTTCTTGAGAATTGTATATAAAACCAGGTAGAACAATTTTCAAGTGTAGGAGTATAACTTAAAAAAAAAATTTTTTTTTTGTCACTTTTAGACCACCCTAGTGGATATCTATCTCAATATTGTCATTTTCAGTAATAGTCATCCTGACTTTTATTCTACAGTTAAAGACCAGTTTGGCCACTTTTTAAATTTTGTTTCATTTAACTTTTAAGTACAGGTTTTATTTTTTCAAACTAACTTTGGTGGTTGAAAGTATCAAAACTAGTGTTGAATTCAAACATTTTTTTGGATAGGGTAAGGTACTAAACAATGACAACCATAAAACATTTTTTTCCTACAATTTCATAAAATTGCAAAAAAAAAAAAATATATAAGTTAATAAAAATTAATCATTTGTTGCTAATATTATTTTAAGTTAAAATTATATTAAAAATATTATTTTAAAATAAAAAAATATTTAACTCAAAAAGCCACATAAAATTATAATGTTTATATGTTTAGTGTTAAGAATGGTAACATTATACCTGAAATATGTATTCACAATTTATTAGTTAATTGTTTATGGCTTTTTGAGTTAAATAATTTTTATATTTAATATAATTTTAATTTTAAAGCTGTCAACCCAAATTTTGACTAAAAATTGTGATACATCATAAAAATCGATATAGTATCACTTTCACTCTGAAAAGTTAGGAGTGAGAAAGTGAGTTATCAAATTTTTATAAAAGTGACCTGATCAATTCTCCATTGACATAATACTGAATTCAAATAATTTTTCAGACTTCTTATGTTTTCAGTTGTTCCATATACAGGAACAATAATGGATAGTTTTTTATACATAAAACCTATATAGTATTTTCATAGTTTCTGTTTTATCTTATATGTTCATAAGTTTATTTCTGTTTCTATTTTATAAATCCACATTAATAAATATTAACTTTTCGTACAAGCATTGCATTACATACACAAATTGTAATATTACCTATACTTGACACCTAAAAAGTCAATACCCATTATCTTAAGATTAATAATTGAAAATAAAAATTTACCAGGAATATTAAATTTATGTTCAACTCGGCACCAGTTCTGACACATAATAGATAAGCGACATCTTTCTTTAGTCATAATTGGAGCAGCCATTCTTTCTGCAACTTCTTTTTGAAATGTTAGTGTCATACGTACACGGCCATATCTCCATGCATTTTTCCTATAATAGTTTATTATGGATTACATAAGTGAAATATAGTAATTTAATGATTAATTACTAATTAAAAACCTATTATTACTTTTCTGATACAGCTTTTAACCATCGAATAATGAGAGGAGTAGAAACATTAAATGGTAAATTCCCTATTAAATGTATAGGAGGACAAATATCTTCCCAATCTCTTACATGTTCTTCATGAAACAATTTTTCCATATTAAAGTTCATAACATCACCAAATATTAATTCTAATGGTACCGGAGATGATTCAGCTAATAACTATAAAGAAAAATTAATTTTTCTTAGACATTATTTATACAGAAAAAATTTAATGAATTTTAATACTTCTAATGAAGGAATAAACCGCTTATCCTTTTCAATAACCAGAACTCGTGCAGGCATATTCTGAATAATGGACCTTGTAATATTTCCAGGACCTGGGCCAACTTCACATACTTCACAATCTTTAGTTGGACCTGCAGATCTTACAATACGACTAGTGAGTCGAGGATCCATTAAAAAGTTTTGTGATAATTCTTTCATTGCGCGTATTTTATAAAGTTTAATTAAATCTCTTATGCTAGGTAATGGAGGTAAACGAACTAACTGACTTGTTGACATGTTGTTTAATTTTTAAAATTTTTGTTATTATTGTTTATTAGTTGTTTCAGGTTCATCAAAATCATCCAAAAATGATTCTTGTTTGATTGCATATATAGAATAACCGTAAATACTTAAAGCAATACTTCCTAGCAAAAGACCAGTGAAACGTGCGTTTTTACGCATGCGATTTAATCTATTAACACGAACAAAGTTTTGGCGTTCAACAAATTTTATTTGTTGCAATATTCTTCTATCAATTTCACCGTCTTTTGATAAATTAACTTCGGGCATTTGATCATTCTTGTCCATAGCCAATGAGATAAACCATTAACCAATTGCTATGAAAAATAATTAATAATTAAATATAAAAGAATGACAAAACTATTCAATTTCAAAACATTTTTTATTTTATAATTATCTTATTAGGGAATATCTTTAACTTATTTTGATTTTCTGAGAATGTTCATCTACAATTTTCCAAAATGTTGCAAATGAAATTTATTTATTATTAAAAATGTTAATACTTTTTTTTGTTGAAAAAGCATAACATACCAAATTATCAATAATTCTTTTTGAAGCTCAAAAATAATAATTTAAAACATAATAACTTTATAACAAACAAATATAAAAATTATATTTTAGAGAAAATCTACCTCATTTAGCGCTTACATATATAAATTTTATTTTTAATGTAAGTTACACATACTAGTGCAATAGCTGTAAACTGGTCAAATTATCTACTAAAGATATTTAAATTTTGAAAAATGATAAAAAATTGTGATAAACTAGTAATGATTAATAAATAACTAAATGAAAGTGATTTTTATAGATTGGAAATACTTAGTTTATTTTCTCCAATTTAAGGAATACCTTAAAATTTTTGTAGTTCAGAATATGTACTACATTGAAATCATATCACAATTTCAATATTAAAAACTAAGCATAATATACCATTAGGAAAAACTATTTTTAATTATTCTAATTTAATAAAGTACTTACTTATTGTTTACAAATGGAAAATTTCAAATTTATAAAATTATTAATTTGAATGAAAATAGTAATTGCATTCTCAAATATAGAAGAATGATATTCCCCACCATACCGGCAATATAATGAATAATAAGATAAGATATTATTTTACGTGTTGCTCTATTTGACCCAATCTCATTTTAATCTAATATTTAGTATTTCACAGTTTGGATATTAATATTGAATAAAATAATTGTGAATTACGTTTGTTGTTTTGTATAGTAGGTACCATAATAAATGATACTAATGAGATTATAATAATAAGTGAACCCGGTAATCATTTTTGAATTGCATTAATTAAACGATTTTATACTGTCACTTTCATTTAAATTAGATATGATCCACATTTAAATTTAACCAACTAAACTTCAAACAATAAAATTTTAAAAAGTACAATAACATTTCATGATTATATTGAAAAGCTTTTTTAATATATTCGTGCATATATGTATTCAAAATGAGAAAGTTTTTATTGTTTATGGCTCATAAATAAATAATTGAAATCAAATCGACATATTTTTTCAAAAAAGTGTATTTAGGTACAAAATTTATATTATACTTTTTATAAAATATATACAATACATATATGCAGTGGTATAGCTAGAATTTTATATTATTGACAAAAGTAAAAAATCTATAAAATTCTTTATTATAGACGTTTTTTTTACTTATTACTTAATCAAAAAAATAAATATTGCTTATATACTAAGCTAATATTAATATCAATGAGGAAGTGGTCCGGGTTCTATGACCTTCCTAGCTACGCTATTGTATAAATTAAGAAAGTAAAATATCAATATTTAAGTCTCTAAATCTCATTAAAAATGTAATGATCATTAGCGATAATAATTCAAATAGTTCTCCCAAAATAAAAAAAAAAAAGGGTTTTAAACATATTTTTGTTACTAATAATAATTAGTAATAAATAACATAACTAATTAATCGTAATAATTTGCATATAAAGACAATTTTATTTATACACCAAAAAATTACAAGAAAAATTGAAATACTCAAAGTACAATCTTAATGCAATAAACAAAATCTATATTATTATAAAAAAAATTATACCTCAAATCTACAGTTTTGAGTGAGTACAATACAAAGTGTAGTGTATTCATAAAAAATATCGGCTTTATTTAATATACAACCAATATTCTTTTTTATCATTTATAATTATAAACACATTTTTTCATGTAATAATAATATATTTAAGTAACAGAGGCGTTATTAACATTTTTTCTTTGTGGAGAAATATTTGAAAATTATTCATATCATCGGTCGAATGTAAACATAATTGTTTTAACACCATATAATTATTTCCGATTGTCTTTAATACTGTGTAATTTGTAGGTAGTACTGGCGTATCATAGGGGGTTGGGTTGTTATATACCCCATCACAAAAATAATTAAATGGCCATGATTTTATTGTATTCATTTAAAAGGAGAAATGAAAAATGTTCTTATGTATATCTTCCCTCAAGACGAAATCTTAATGTACCACTGGTAAGATAATATTTAAAATATAGGAATATTTTAAATCTTAATAATTAGAGATCGTCAAGACAATGTAATGTTTATGTGGCTAATTCCTCAACTATACATATACATATATTAATATATAAGATATTTTAGTAAAATAAAATAATCACCATTGGTAATATGATAAATTTTTTTTATATATATAATGACTAATTATAAGCATTATATAATCAACAATTATTTTTGTTATCAGCTAATACAACTATAATAAAACCTAAATAAAAATAATTCATTGAATATAATATTTTTTTGTATCAATCAAATTAAGATACATATGATTTGATTATAGATTGTGGATTTGTTTCTTCCACGCTTGACACATGCGCGCGATTCTTACTTGATGTTATCCACATGGGTCGATACAGGTACAGAAAACGTACATCTGAGTCTGGGTAATGGATCGCATAACATCAGCTCCTTGAATACTTTGAAACAAATTTTAATATTTATATTCATATAATAAATTAGTGATCATGAATTCGTCATTGAATAATGAGCATGTTAGTCTTGAAAAGGAAATTGATGCTTGCACTGTATCATCCAGCCGAAACCCGTTATTATGTTTTTTGTGTGAAGACTATTATAACGATCCGTGTATTTTGATTTGTTTTCATACTTTTTGTGCAAAATGTATCAAAGTTCGAATCCAGGATAACAAAATAAATTGTCCATTATGCGGGTATGTGTATTATTCGTTATTAATAATAATTATTCAATTTAAAAAGGAAAGTACTAAATAAATTATGAAACTGATATTTAAATATTTGTCAAAACAAAAAAGTGAGCAGTTGTATAATAATTTCTGACACAAAATTCATTATTAAGTTGTAAAGTATATGGGAATTTAAACTAAACTTCTTTTAAAGAAAATGATAATACCCACCAGAAATTATTTAAATCAATTTAATTAATTATATTCTTTAGAAAAAGAAGAATCTAAGCCAATTTTAAGGCTTGGTAAGTAAGGTTTGCGGCCTGGACCTCATAAAAAAAATATTAGCAAAATAACTCATTTGGTTGTAAGTTATTTAAATTTAGTACCTCGCATTTACGATTTACCCAGAGCCTCGCAATTTAAAACGCTGGCGTTTTATTGAATATAATAAAAGGCGATTTTTTTTATGTAAATATTCTGAATAATTCAGTGATTTTCTGTAAAATATATGATGCAGGTAACGCAGTGTTTTTCAACTAGGGGGTTGCGAGCTAATTACGGTAATTATCTAAATTATTAATGCCATAATAAAATAATTATATAAAGAATTAAACAATCATCAAATTATAATTTATATATAATTACGTTTATGTCGCTAAAAATTAAATATCCAATAAGAAAGGTCCTCATGGTAAAAATGTTGAAAAACATTAATTTAGCATTTAGTCATTATACAATCATTTTTTCTAAAAAATTTTTACGAAATCACTACTGAAATAATAATTTATTAGCCTTAAGACTTAAAATTTAGAGTCTTACTTACAAGAAGTATCTATGTTAATTATACAATTACATGTAAAGGGAGTCCAGTAATTTTTATTACGTTGAGTAGCTATACCTTTCAACTACCCCCCCACTTTCATAATTTTATGTCAATAGAGGATCCGGACCACAAGAATCTTCTTAAAATCTTAATATCAACTGTAATTAACTGATATGAAAAAAATCCAAGTTTTATATAAACATAATATATTTATATTACATAATATAATTTATTTTGAAAAAACTATAGTACTATTGAAATGTTATCAATTTTATTTTAAAGCGGCCTTATAAATGTTATTTAAAATTATTTTTAATGTACTGTTACGAGTATATATTAAAATGATTAGAAAACGGAGTATTATGTTCTTACAATTTAAGTACAAGTGATTTGAAACTATACTCGGTAAAAATGTGTGTACATATAATTAAAAATACGGTAGTTTATTAAAATAAATTTTCATTTAATCCTAAATTGAACAAGATTTTGAAAATTTCTTTCGAAGGTCGTGAGGATTTTAAGAAGATTTAGTCCATCTTAAAGGATAAGTAGTTCTAAGTTTCTGTGGATCTATTATAAATGTACACAATTTAATAGTGTCAAAAATGTATAATTTCCGAAATTTGTTCTTTAAAATAATAGGATTTTAAAATGAATTATAAATAATAATTCAAACACAATATTTTAGAACACAAACTACTTTGAAAGATGGGACTCAACTACCACCACAAGATTATTTGATGGTAAAGCTTATCGAGATGGTCAATATAGAAAATCCACCTTGTGCTAACTGCGATAAACGTGACCCATCTTCTATGTATTTTTGCTCCACTTGTGGTATGTGGTAATTTTTTAAAAATATAAAATATAAAATTTTCTAAGTTTATATTATAATTTTTGTTATTAAAATAAAACATTTATTGCATTAACAATTTTTATAAAATAGTAATACTACAAAAATTTGAATGAAAATTTATAAATTTATGTACAATAAATAGTAATTAAATATAGTTAACAATGCATTATATATTCAAGATTTAAAACTAAGAAATGTAAAAAAAAAAATAAATAAATTGTAAGTTAATCATTTATTTTATACTTTGAAAAAGTTGAATAGAAATAATATATGATTTCATCGTTTTATCTCAAAATATCTATTAGTTAATAAATACTTTTTAGATTTATAAATACTAGTATTAGAATTTTTATGTTTTATAACTGTGAATTATTAAGGTCAAGCATTATGTAAATCTTGCCGAGAAAACACTCATCGAGCCAAAATGTTTTCAAAACATGACATTGTTCAAATGACTAAAAGACTAACTGAACAAACTGAAGTAGTAAGTGTGCATTTTTTAAGATAATATAATTATTATGCTAATATGTTTTTAATTATGATTAGTGTTCTAAGCATGATGAAAAAATCACTTACTTTTCAAACAACCAGAGACATGTAATTTGTACTAGTTGTGTTCTAGAGAAACCAATCGAAAGCCGCAAATCATGCGTCGATATTGATGTAGCATATAACCAAAACCTAAAAAAATTGGATAGAGCTTTACTTGTAAATATTTCTTGTTATTTATATATTTATTAAATATTTTTAATCAATCACAACATTTTAAAAATAAAAAAATTCATTATTAGTCAGTTTATGATATCCAAAACTCTATTCGAGAAGGCGTTGTAGCTTGTCATACGTTGTTAGAAGAATTAAGGCAAAATACAGATACGGAAAAAACAACAATACATAACTTTGTTCAAACTCTTCACGAGGCTATCAATAAAATACAAACTGATATGCATTTAGAAGTTCAACGGTATTATTAATTTAAATAAATATTTTTAAGAAAAAATATTTATTATTATAATCTGGGACGAATTAAGAAATTTTTTTGGAATGATCATCTAATTTAGCCATTTTGACCATTTTTTGCACAAAAACTGTTTTTTGATGCGATACACATGTTACAAAAATGGGTTATGCAACAACCCAATATTCCTCGATAGATCTGCTCCAAGCTCATAATAATAATTCTTAAATAATTAAGTGGATATTTTAAACAGTGGCGTAGTTATATTCATATAATGAAAATACATCTTCCTCTATAAAGGTATTAGGATTTTTTTAAATTATCGGTTATTATTGATAAAAAATTTGAATGGAAATAAATAGATTTAATTGTAGTATATTATATTAAATACGTTTAGTTTCATAATTTCTTGTCACAATTAAAAATAAATAGATAAATAAAATGTTTATAATTGATGGTTGTTATTATAACTTTGTTAGCTCAACTTTGTTAAACTACTGTTTAATATTATTGCATGTTAAGAAAATGTATAATTTGTTAAATATTAATATCAGCCCTAAATATATCTGCATCATTAAAAAATGTACCGTTTATATTAAAATATTATTTGTTTGTTTATAGTCAATATGAAATAAAGGAAAGAGCTTTTCGCAACCAGCTATTAACATTAAGTGCTGTATTACCAATTCTTCAACACCATATTATTTTGTGTAGAAACTTCGTATCAAGTTCCAATAAATATTATTTTCTCGAGATTGCTTATTTGATGCTTGATCGATTAAATACAATAGTAAAGATCCCGCAGCCAACAAAGTATGCTGAATTTTACTATATTAATAATCAAAAAAGCGAAAATGTCATAACTTTATAGTGATGGAAATTAAATTCGAAAAACATAACTTATAAACTAAGTTTTTATGTAAAACTCCAAAGTTTTAAAGTTCAAAGTTCTGATATCTGAATGTTTGAACTTTGAATGGTAAAATTTTAGATTTTCTTATCACTTTAAAATAGACAATTAAAATGTTTTAAATATTTAAATTATAGTATACGCTGTTTTTTATTGTAGACCTTTGCTTACAAGTACAGTAAAAACTAACTATCGTTCAGAATTTGCACAATGCTTAGAACCTTGGTTTGGAAAGGAAGAAATTCAAGATTCTGGAATTTACGAATCATCCAAAAACTTATCTATCTTAAATGCAAAATCAAAAGACAATCTAAATTTTTCTCAGTCAACATATCCGTCAAAAAAACAACATTCTGCGCTAAAAGCAAAGGCTTTGGAAGGTGAAGGGCCATTTTCAAATCATTGTAGAAGTTTTGAATCTCAAATAAAAGTAAACTATTGCTTTATACGATGGTTTTCCTGATTTAGATCACATTCATATTTTTTTTCACTAGGAGCTAGGGACTCAATTATGTTGTGTCAAAGATCGACTTAATGAACTACAACGAGAAGTAAAAGCTCTCCAAGGAACAAAATCACCAGCTGTACCACCTTTAATTTTACGCCATCAAAACATAATAAAGGACTGCCTTCGTTTAAATGACACTCTTGAAAGGAATCGCGTCGAATTAGAGCGTTTGAGGTCCGTTTTTCAAACAATATGGCAAGAGCAATTGTACCGAATTCATGTCGAACAAGATATATTCCACTCACAAGTAAAGATAGAATCTTATTTATTTTTTGGAAGTTACATTTAAGGGAAACGAGAAGCATTTCGAAAATGTTGATTTGCACAAGATGTCTATAAACTGTTAAATTTGTTTTTGCTATCCTGATAAATTGCTAAAATTGATATATCAACTACTAGAAAATAACCATAGATATTTATTTTTGCAAGAACCAATAATTATAATTGGTAAAATAAATGTAAGATACCTTAACAGAGCCAGAACCTCTTTAATTTAAATTAAAAAAACCACTATAAAACCCGTTGTTAAAACTCTCAAAAGTTCCAACCGCTGCCAAAATTATATAATTTTTATAAATTTTTTATCAAATTTAGATGGCCGATATTGTGACTTTACAAAGTGAAGTTAAACAATTAGCAACTCTTGCACAACAATTGGATCCTTACGTAAAACGTTTGACATCTAAACCGAGTAATAACGAAATTACAGATTTGAAAATCTTACTGGACAGGCTAAGTTCACTTCAACAATCTCAAAGGTATCTAAAAAGTAAAATTTCAAGCACTTTACAGCAAAATTATTATTTCATTTTATGGTCATTGCATACTAATTATGTGCTAGTTAATAAATTTTTATAGAAAGTTATATATGCAGATAAATTTTAATTAATTTATATATTTAAAAACAAATAATTTATTACCACTCAAAAATTTATAATTTGTGATTTTAGATTTTCATTTGGTTGTCCTAAAATGGACTCCCATTGCATGAGTAGTTCATCACTCATATCAGAAACAAATTACGCGAAAGATAATCGTCCAGATACACCTGTCAGAGAAAAAGATCAACAAATTTTATTTATTCATAAAGCACAATCAACAAAAAGTGTTCTATCACACATAGTAGATAAGGTATGCGTTCGAGATAAAACGTGTCAAGAATTCAGGGAAAGGAGTAAATCTGAAGGACGTATTAAAGAATGTCCTGTGACAAGACCAAAATCAAAAAGTGGTAGGTTATTTAAAAATAATTTATCGTTTATTAAAATAATAAATTAAATTGATAAATTATACAATTATACAAAATTGAACTTTTTCTGTGATTTTTCTCCAATACAGGAGATTATGGTAAATTGATATGTGTTATTTCAAGAGTGGCATCAATTTTTAATTTTGTATTATAAGTTATTAATATAACATAAATTAAATGAAAAAAAAGTTTTTCACAAAATATAATACTTGTCGCTACATACTTTTTAAATTTGTTTTTAGTTTCTTAGTAAAACAAGCAGTTTTAATTACTATTAAAAGTAATCGCGTTTTTTCTTAGCAAATCAATTTCTGAGGAATAGCTTTAAAAAATAAAAATTTGTAGATTATTGTCATATTCCTGTGACGGACAGGACTGTTTTATCATAATACATTTGTTATTTATTAGTTGTTGAAGAAGAGTGTGTTAAGAATACAAGAGCGTGTTCATTGTATCAAATGATAGATATTCGCGGAGTACAACATTTGACAGCTCAGTCAACATCTAATATTCACGAAAAAGTACGTTTTTTTTTTAATCCTTACTTTTGTTTGAGTGATAAATACTTTGATAAACTAATATTTCAGGATCCTAATATAGAATTATGTGACAAATTAAGAGAATATTTAAAAGATCATTTAAAAAAAAAATTGAATGTTGAAATATTTGATGAAGAGGCAAAAGGTATATATTATGTACTATAATAGATTAGAGTAAATATTTTTGTGTTTATTAGATAAATATTTGGGAAAATAAAAAAAAAAGAATTATAATAATTTAACGAATTGCCTGTTTATATACGTCAATACAGAGTAATTATTTTGATATTGACCATTTGATTTCTCTTAAAATAATAATTATATAAAGGAAATTCTTTTAGGTAATTTTTAATTTTATATATTTCTCGATTTATTAATTATTAAGTATATGTTTAATTAATTCCTTATACATTATAAGAATGTCAGCTTTATTTTTTTTTAAATGTAATTATTATTAAAGGATAAATCGAGTAGTTAATATAAAAAAAATCACCTTGTTTATTTATAACGTTAATGTAGTTCAAAAAATCGTTTATTCATTAGACAATCGAAGTATAGTAAAACCAACCAACTTTTTGGTTATAGAATTAGTGGCATATTAAAGAGTGATATATGAGGTAAGGACCTTCCATGCATATGAAATCATAATAACGAAGGGCAGTGGAGGGGCAAATCTCTTCACTACTCTACGTTCCAAAACTTATTTAGACTCCTTTTTACAAAACTTCTAACAGTTATAAAATTGACAAATTTTTCTTGGCTCTGGCGTTCCTTCAATAATGAAGAACGAATTTTGTTGTTTAGAGACTTGTTTAAAATCACATAGTTTTGTAGAAGTGCAGTAAATATTTTCAGAACTCCATCATATAAATTACTAAGAATTTATTGATATATTAAACTTAAAAATCAAAGAATTACCAATCAAGATATAATTAAGAAAATAGGAGTTGATGTTGCTTTTGGAATAATTCATCAATTTCTTAAAATTATACACTAAGTACAGATTTGCATCGAAGTGTTTCTTATGATAGTGATTTTAATCACTGTCAGATATCATCTATACTTATCCCAACTATGCCACATTCCCACTATACGTGTTTATATTTTAAACTCCTTTGTTATCAAATTATTATTAAACATTAGTGACCAGTTTTATTCAATTGTAATTTTAGACGTTAAACGCAAAGATTTTTTTATTATTTTCAATAATAATATTAAAAATATAGGATAAAATTATCATTATTAAAAACATGTTTTCAAAAAAATATTATGTTTCAAATAAAAATTGATATATTATCTTTAATTATCAAACTAGTAGCTAAAACCTTAATAGTAAATAGTTTTTCTGCTAACTGTAGTATTCTGTAGTATTAATTGTGTGGTTAATAAGCTGTAACCGTTATCATATAACTGAGAACTTGAAAGTGGACAAGAAAGTTTGATTTCTGAAAAATTATTTTCTACTATATAAGAAATTAATTAAAAACATTTAATTACCTCAATAAGCTCAATGTTTTGAGAAAATATTGAAGTTTCTTTGGATTTCTAGGCAACAGTATTAATTCTCCAGAACATATTATAATACCTTATCCGAAAACGGACTCTGCAAGTCCGAATCAATTACCCAATACTAAAGATATGGATACATCTGAAAATATTTCAAATAATATAATATTTTCCGTGAAATTAATACTGTAGCCTAGAAATGCAAAAAACTTCAATATTTTCTCAAAATATTGAGCTTGATGTACATTCTGTTAATTAAGTTGAATAAAGTTCAAATTTTGTACTGTAATTATATTATCACTATAATATTAACATAAAATATGATGTTATCATTATTACATTTGAATCGGTGAGTGGAAGAACAGTACTAGTCCAAAAAGTGAAATTTGAGATAATCAAGTTTTTAAGTTAAAAAATTCTGTTTACAGTAACTTATAGACTTTAGAAGCCAGGAAATTTTGTAGCTGTTTTTACAAAGTTCCTAATAGCTTGTTATTACAATCATTGGTCATAAAAATTTTTTTTTTTATTTTAAAACAATTTAAAAATATCATTGGACAAGTACTGTTTTTCTTCTCAATTATGTTTTTGTTTATAATTTCCCTGTTAACTTCTTTTAAATTAAAATAAAAATAATATAAAATAGTAGGAATAGTTAAAACATAATAGTAACACTTTATTGTTTAGTAACTTAAGCTTTTTTAACTTCATTTGGGCTTTTTCTTGCTTGCCCTTCGTGATACACGTAACAGTGGCCTGTATTTTCTTTTAAATCATGAATTTCAAAGGTATTTACCCACAGTTGACGATAATAAAATACCTCTTGAACAGGTATATTAGGTAAAGGAAAGTTTTGCATAAAATCGAAACATATTGCTGCCACACTAGGATTTTCCTTACATAGATTCTCAACTTCTTTAAGTTTATTATACAACTTATTGGCACGTTTTTTGTGGATTAAATACTGCGCTGCTGCTACTCTCTTTGCATTATCATTTAAGTTTTTATCCCGGATTCTTGATCCCAAGTTCTCACACTCTGAACATACGTCCACTTAAGGTCGACGAAAGCTGAAGTTATAATTTTCTTGAAAAAACTTTAGGTAGTACTCATATTTTATTTTATTTTCAAGATCTGGGTGCTTTTTAATAAACAATCTGTGCATTTCCTTAGTATTTAAGGTACAAGGCAAATACCGTAAAGGTTTAGAAGAATAATGAGACGTTTCCAGCGGAAATGATACAATGTGTTCTTTAATCTTTACAATGAATTCGTCTTTTATCTTGGACGGTCGATTGTTGTGCTTTCCACATCCATCTTAAGGTGATATACCAGATAACAAAATACTTGTTAATCTTTGCACTTGAATATGTGATATAGCATGCAATCTCATAAAAGCCTGTTTGGAAACAGATATGCGTAATTCGTTCTTTTTGACAAAGTACGCAAAATTACTCGCCCTTGGTTTTGCTTTTGCTCCACCAATCTCAGACCTTTGGCGGCGTCTAATCACAGATTTTGTTTCGATCAGCCCGAGTAAAAAAGTATCAAATTCATTTTTCGGTTTTCCATCATATAAATTATGAATTATTTTTTTTTTCGTCATTGGAAAACGTATTCATACATTTGCGTCTGCAAACACAATTAGGACCAGTAATTTTAGAAGTAATTAGATTACCCGATACTGAAGTATAAGAAGCTCCATTTTGACGAGCGATCTTAATTTTTTGACGTTTCCATGTTTGAGGATAAACTTAGCGTTTCTTTCCTATCTTTGGTGTTTCATTTTCTTCATCTGAGGTAGTGTCAGAGTCAGTCATTTTTATTTCACAAAAACGTTTAAACAAAAAAACAAAACAAAATATGTACTCATAAAAAAATATTATTAATATTGCAAAAAATTAATAATGTAAGCACACATTCACACCACAACAATAACGATAACCATAGAGATAAATAAATGATAATAAAAACACTGTTTTTCCACTCATCAAAATAATAAATATACCTGTAGCAAGTGAAAAAAGGTTGAACTAGTACTATTTTTACACTAAATACTTAGATCTAAATTAGATGAGTTATTCGTAAAAAAAAAACGAAATATCGAATTTTACTAGTATTGTTCTTCCACTCACCGATTCATTTATGTAACATATTATAAATATACAAGATTACTAAATTAGAATTCCTTCTTTATATTCATTAAAAAGTCAAAGTAACAAACTAATTATGGGACAAAATCCATTTATTATTTGACAGATTTTATAGCAACGCTTATGCGCAGAGCTTCTATCATTATTATTCAATTGTAATTAAAATCCTCAGCCTCCAAGATTCCGCAAGGATCGTTAGACTATCCATTCTGACTATAAAAAAAACATTCTTTCTTATTTACTTCGCATAATTTTCAAATTAAACGGGATTTAGAATATTTTTCGATTTTAAATAACACTTAAGTATTTTAAAGTAAATTTTGTTTTGGTGAATATTGTAGTCTAAAATTACTTTGTTTATTTATATAATTTTTCTCATTATGGAAATAAATTTCAATTAATAATCTAAAAAATAAGTGTCACCAACGGTTAATAGATGTAATCTACCGACTGAGCTAGCTGGGCATAATCATTATTGTTACATTATCGTTAGGCGCATAGAAACAAATTTCCAACCGATATTCCTTAAATTGACGTATTTAAAAAATAAAGGACAGCTTAATTAATATACTCAACATTTTGGGATAATAAGAGGGTTAATAATGTCTCGTTTTTGCACTTATTTCAGTCTTGAATTAGGTTTGATTTATTTTTATTTTTAAAAAAAAAGGTTCCCGAAAAATTGAAAAAAAGCCATACGATTACTATACAGAAGGGTTTCTTGGAGAAGTTGAAACAATAAGCTGCGAAGGGTCAAATGTTTGTAAAAACCAAGGGATTAAAGTACATAAAAAAAATATGTCATCAAATCAAGAAACTATGGTAGCACCTAATGCTGTAACAAGAAAACATAGACGTTATCCACACTCAGACACCGAGGATTGTGGTATAACTGCCATGTATCAAGAGTCATCTTTTAAGTAATAATAATTTAAACTATTAAAATTATTATTGATTACTTGTGGATAATTAATATTTTTTCTTTTAAAACTTTTAATTTAATATAAAACATGACAAGTATAATTTTTGTAGACGAATCTCTACTCCAGATGATGAAAAATCAGCTCGAGCATCTAATTCTGTTCGTTGTCGTTCCAGAAAAACTAATAGTGTGCGAAAGCAAAGATCTTGGGAAACATTTCCAACACGAAAAAAGTCAGTTATTCCAGAAGCAAGTAAATTTTGCCATGATCCAGAATCATTTCGTAGTCAATTTAATTTAAACGCTTTTCAAGATGGAATAAGGAAAGCTGATAGTTTTGAGGGCCACGAAGAAGCTGTTAGCTCTCTTGTTAGAGAATTTCAAAAAGTTAGAACGTTAGATAGAAAATCGAATAAAATGGAATAGACATAAATTAGTATAAATTTATATCAATTTTAATTTTCCTCTATAATAGGTTATATTAATTTTAAAAATATTTAAATACGAGTTGTGCCAAAGTACAGAACTACATTTAACAATTTTGCTAGCCCAGAAATTCATGATTTATTTTTTTAAGCATAACTAACTACGTCAAGCAGTTATTTTATTAAATTACAAGTATGTTATGTATGACATTTATTTTTTATTTATAACAAACCTACGAATCCAATAGAATGTACAATAATTTAAAAATAACAATTAACAATGAATTTCGTTAAAATTATTAAATTTTATTACTTTATATGAATGCACAATGAGTTAATAGATCTATTATATATTTCAATGAAATTTAGAGTTACAAACTCTCAAATTGTGTTTTGTAGAACAATTTAGTAAAAAATTGTTTACTTTAAAAAAAATTACCAGATCAAATAATTAAAAATAAATAAATAGAAATAGTATATGAAATAAAAACCTAATTAATTTACTTCTATTACATTATCGTAGTTGATAAGAGAGGTTAATTATAAGAAATAATAATAAACAATAAGACAAATTAATAATAAAAACAAAGATAAAATATTGTTGATTATTGTACACAAATATTAAGGGGTTCTATTTTATGGTTGCATAATCTAAGATTACAATTAAATATCAAATAATTTGTGGTTTTTATAAAATGTTATAACACATACATCACTCATTATTCAGTAGTCTATAAATTATTGTCTATTAATCACCAAATTAAATATATATTATTCATGTTAATCTTTTAAACTGTTCCGAGAAATATTTATAAAAATGCATTCATACAAATGTAATGTAATAACTATAAGAAATTCTTTAGTTGTGAAAAATCATCTATTTTAAGTCAAATAATGTGTAATAACTAACACAATTGAGTAATTAACAGATATAGTAAAAGGTCGTGACACTTCTTGCACATATAGATGAATTAAAATTAATATAAAAGGACATAAAAACTGTCAATTCGACTCGCTGCTCTTTGACTTTGTGAACTTTTAACAAGTGCAAGAAGTGGCTCGACAAACTTATAATTTCACACAGGAAATCGAAACATATTTATTTTTCAACCTTACTTCCAATATCACCAAGTTAAATTTACATTTTTACAGAAGATTTATAAGGTTTAAAGTTAAGTGTAATGAGAACATAAATTAGGTAAGGAACCAGAAAAATTAAGTGATCTGTAGAATAAAATATTATTTAAATAAATAAAAAAAATTAAAAACGTTTATACGAAGTTAGTAGTCTACTCCCAATCTTTGAGTGAATTAACTGTTTAGTCAATACAAATAAAGACTTTCTTGCAAAGATAAAGAACCCACTGCAGTTCCTATACTACTCGAGGTATTTATTGACACGACTCACAGTTAGCAAAAGCTTAGATAACTACTGGTACGAGTGGCGTTGTTGATAATTTAAGTGTAATAATTAATCGCAATAATTTCTATTTCAAATTATTATTATATTAATAAATTGTCAAACATCACTTTGTTTTATCTATATGTAACATCTTCTCATAAAACCCTCGTACTCATATCCCGAGAGAAAATTATATTATATCATTTTATTCAATAAATATATAGTAACTCAATTTTCTTATGCTCATACAAGATCAACCAATAACTAATTACATATATCATTTTAATAATAGAAAACTGCCATTTACATATATCATTCATTTTTTTTTTTTTTTGAGTTACTATAAAAATAAGTCGATATATTGAAATGTATAACTGTCCTCTCCAATGTAGGATAGTTGGCAACCCTAAATTTCATAGGTGCATATTTCATTTTCGGAAAATACCATATTTCGTAGTTAGAAAGTAACAGACTGAAGGGCGACCCTTTGATAGGCACCAGCAAAATTACGTTTTCCCTTGACCAACTAAAGAACGGTTTAGCCAAGAAAATAGCCAGCTTAAACAATAACTATTTGCATTAATTGGAGGACCAACAATCCGACAATAACTCTAGCCACACACACACTAATAAAATAATGAATTAACGAGATTTAATAAATTAATAGTAATAATAAGTCTTTATAACATTTATAAATAATTGTATTCCAAATATAATAGTAACACACACACAAATTTGGTAAAACCGATACGAACATAAAACTAACGGCGACGGAAACGATCGTGGTCAAACCGTCATCCGCCAGTCAATCCCCTTTTTATAGTATGTGGGGTATCCTACTTATTTTATATAATTTTTTTGATTCATATTTTTTTAAAAATTTTTATTGATATCATACTAAGCATAATTTATTGACCTCATAATAAACATTATAAGTAAGGGTTTTATTACTCATAGATGAAATAAATAAACTTTAAAAATTTTAATCAACGTATTTTACAAATGTCAGTTGTATAGTAATCAATTATTATATTATGATGGTGGAGAATACGATTTGTATTATATTTTAAAAAAACAGTTAAAATTAACCCTAATAACAATATAAAATTTAAAACTAATCTCCAGAAATGTTTAAAAGCGCATTAAACACGTTTGTGTACTAGACGAAAGAATAATAATAAATTTTAAACATATAGTGGTTAGTTCCAATATCATTGTTATCATAATTATGCTAGAAAAACGTATTTGATATTTTTATTAGAACTAATAAATATTTAAAATTGCACTTAACCGATCCTTAAACTTTCATTTATATGCAAATAAATGCATTTATATAAAAGTTGGGTTAAAGTTATAATCCTAATTTTTTATAGTTTCAAAAAGTGAATTAGTTTGAAGTGATTGTTTTGAACCTCTAATTAGAAATATTTGACATTGTAATTGGTTGTACTGAATGTAATGAGATTTAATTATCAAGTATTTATTAGTTATAAGCTGAGTAAATGACATATTACTGGAATATGTCGTAAGAATATAAGGCTCTACATGTAGAACCTTTTCATTCTAGTTAAATGAAATATTTTATTATTTAGAATCTTCCTTATTTGAACAAATGTATGAGCTCGGTTTCAGAAATACCAACTTTTATAACTAAATATGTGTTAATAAATTTGCAATTGCCTTTAAAAATAAATTTAAAAAACATAAAAAATAAATTCTAATATTGACATATTCTTACTCGATTTATGATTCAAGATACAATTAAAAAAATTATCAATATTAATAGTTATATATAAAAAAAATTTATCCCACTCGCGCAACCACATGGTCTGATACCATACGCATCACTAAATTCTAAAGAAATGCAATATTTCCTTCTATATAAGTAATAAATATATTTTAGATATTTTTCAATACAATTATAAAGCGTAAAAAGAACAACTGAGATCAATCGAAAAAAAAATAGTTTTACGAAAAAGTCGCGTAAGAACCTTTTCATTGTAAGGTGAAAATTATTTATTTAAATTAAATTTTCTACCTGATTGATACACTTAGGACATTTAATAATTAAGTTTTAATTACAAGCCTCAATATAGGTCTTTTGTCTCCAGTATTTTCTTATTTATTTTATATTATGTAGTTAAATAAATAATTACATTGTTACATTTGTTGTAATTTATGGGATAATGTATTAAAAATAATAATCTATTTCTAATAATAAATGATTAGAAATTGTGAAAAAAAACATGAATTATAAGCTTGTTGTTCTAAAATGAGTAATATTAAAATGGTAAACTTTACTCTTATGAAAATTACTACTATAAAACTAGTATTTTGAACAATTAATATTATGAATGAAGTATAGTTACACAGATGAATGAGCATTTTTAATTTTTATTGTATTTAATGGTTAATGATGAAAATCAGAAATTTTGTTTATAGCTATAATTTATTTCCTTTTAGTCATCTGAAATTATTGCTAAGCGTACTAGGGAAATGTTTAAGAAAAAACTAACTAAATTAACTACGATTATATTATGATTTTTTTTTTTTTTTACTATATTTAATGTTTATTTTTTTATTAATTATAATGTATTAAACTTTTAGAGTTAAAATCTCTGATGTTATCTTTTGAATTTTCTATTTCTTAAGAGGTAAATATAAACTATTTGCCTCTAATGGAACATTTATAAATAAATGGGGTGGAATCCTTTTCTGGAAAATTCCCCTTAGTTTTATTTAAAATTTAAGGCAGTTTATTTATACTTAATGATATATAACAGAATATATATTGAATTTTTTTATGAATCTTATTAAAATAAAAAAATATGTAATAGTAATAGGTTGGTTTGAGAATTTGGATATTTATTATTATAACTGTTCTTAAATAATGTTTGTATTTTAAAAGTTATGAAAAAAACCAAACGTTATAACGTTTGGAATTATAATAAATAATCAAATACAGGCTCAACGCATTTCCATGTTTTATAAACAATATATAAACAACTATTTTGTTTCTATAGATAAACATAAATAATACATTTGTTAAATATACATGAAAATTACCTGCAGACTTATTTCACTTACGTGTTCTTAAATTTTCGACTAATCAAGTTTTTCATACTTCTATAGTTATTAGTGTTGCAATATATATTTAGTTTAATACTTTTATTTATATATACTGTATACAAAAAATGGAAAATATGCATTCAGTAAATGTGACTAATACAGTCTTGATGTTTGAAAAATTAATAAAAAGCGCTGCAAAACAAAATATAACAATAGTAATTAACTCAAGAAAAAAAAATAAGAGAATATACTTTTGATTTAAATCGCTCAATTCAAAAAGATCCAAAAGTTGTATCTACTGGCACGAAAGTTTCTAATCGTACAACCCCAGTAACCAATCAAAACGAGGAACTGAAAATGAAGAAGTTTAAAAGTGAGTCAAGGAAACATTTAGTTAAATTGACTAGCGATAAAAATAGCAACAGCACCCATTCCTCAACGCCAGTTAAAACTTTAAACTGTTAATACTTTCTGAAATATTGATCTAAAAATTGTAATAGTTAAGTAATTTTTTTAATTAGATTGTTAATAAATAAATAAACTTGTTCATTATATATGTACCCAATTGAAAAAATAAGTTGCAATAGACGATTCTAAAATATAATTAACAGTTGGTAAATAATGTTTTATAGGTAATTGAAAATATCAAAATTAATTTAAGAATATATAAAATGAATTATAATAATAAAAATAAATTATAAGAATGGCGCCAAAGCAAAAATTCCATATTAAAGCAGAATTATTTTTTATTAGGAGAGGATACTAAGTATTTTTTTTATATGCGCCACAACAAAATTCTATTTTCACCTCTATCAACAAAAATTGAGTGTCAAAAGGATTAACAAATTATGAGTATTTGACTTTAAAAGCCAGGTACCCCTTGTTTAATAACTTAAATGTAAAATTATCAAATACTTAATGAATCAAAATTTTTATATTGATTACACTTAACTTCTTGTTCAATAGAGTTGCTTGTCAAATTCCAAAATAGTATATTGAAAAATTGAACACCTGCAAAACTTTATCTACGAATTCACCATAGATGTCGTTAATTTAGTTTTATTGAGAATCTTCCCAGAAAATTAAGCCATAATTCTAAACCTCGCCTTTATATATCTCCCAAAGTTATGATGAAATGTTTTTATACTAATAAAATTGATTGGGGACTTCGAAATTACTTTCGTTATGCTATTATTCTTTATAATTGCTGTACCTACTGAAAAAAACAATTATAGTAATAATTAGACTTGGAGACTTGTGAAAAATACATACATAAATATTTAAATAGTGCAACACGGTTTAATCCATTCACTCCTTAACTCAACTTTTTGCCGATATTAAAGTAATTTATACTTAATAAAATAGTTTACGGATACCACACTTCTATCTTGAAATATAGCTTTATTTTATATTTTAAATATTCAAGATACTACTGAGTAGTCTAGTAAAGTTCATCTCAAAATATACGAATACAATTATAAGAATAAACTAAAGTAATTAATATGTTATATTCTTAAAACAAAAATTATCTTAATTAACCATTCTCAAACTTTGATTTATTGTTAAACAAAATAATAAATCTTGCTATGTTCGCATCTATACGATTCCGGTACGCATACGTATCCTTTAAATTGATAAATAGACTATTCAAAGTCTATTTAAAAAGTGACTACTTTTAAAATAACAACTTTAATATAAAGATTGAAGTTGTTTTAATTTCTAAAATTATTTAGATAGCCTTTCAAGAGGATAAAATATTTTTAAGTACTTTATACCTTGTTCATTAAAAATGTCCAAAATTTTTAAAAACTGTGTTTACTAATTTGTAATATTTGGTGCATATAATATACATTCATAATTAATAATTATATCGTGTTGTTATTATCTATGTACATTAGGGTGGCCCTCAAAAATCGAATGTCTTTTTTTTCTTTACGCTACCCCTTAATTTTTTTTTAATGGTCAAAAAAGTGAGCTGTGCAAAATTTGGGACCGATCCGTTAAGGTTAACCCGTGCCCCCGGGCCTATTAAGTTGAGTCGTAAAGTCAAATTTAATAGAAATAACTGATCTATGTCTCATAACTTTTTTTTCTCTTAACTTAGAATAATAAAAGTAAAACTCAAGTAAAGGAAATTTTACAAGAAATTCAAAAATAATAACTTCAATGTTGTTTTCTCAATAAATAGCCCACAAAAACACTACATACAGTAAAAAACATGTAAAAGTCTTAAAATACGTTATAACTGATTTTGTTGATTTTTAATTATTTATTTTCATTTTATTTTTTGGAAAACGCATTTTCGTTTAAAAAAAGAATCTAGAAGTTTAATTTTTTATGCCAAGTACTATAATTATATTAGATTTATTATTTTATGGACAGTTAATTAATGATTAATTACAAACCTAACAGTTTAATTTAATTGTTATTAACAATTTTTAATTTATTTTTTTTTAAATAATAATAACTTTAAAAAAAATATTTTAACAATAATTAAATTATATTATTATAATATATTTTTTGATAATGTACTTTTTTTACAATTAGGAAATTTTTTCCGATAATTACTTACTATTTGTAAAACGTATTGTTTCTGTTCTTCATTTGTAGTTAATATATTAATGTAGTCTTAGATTAATTTAATGCCACGCTAGGCTGTATCATTAATGACTCGTAATTTACTTATAGTATTTAAAGCATTTATGTAACTGTTGTTCGCACTCCAAAATGATGGATCAATTTTCAAAAAATCAGTGTTCAGATTAAATAGTTGTAAATTTGATGGTAACTTACTACCAGTTATTTCGTGGGAATAATTACCAATAAGATAAATATTAGTTCGTAATACTTTAAAAGACGCTAAAAGTATTGTACATTTGTGATTAAAACGTATCATTTAATTTATAATAATAAACAGGTAAAATATATTTAACGTGTTCACAAATTGTCTGCTGCATTTATACGACACAAATTATGTCAGTTGTCGAAAATAACTCAAATATTCTTATCTTTAATAATAATATAATTGGTACTATCTTAAAGTAATTCAGTAAACCAAAATTGATATATTGATACGACAAAATGTAATAATACAATCAATTTTGTTAAATTTGTAATTAATCATTAATTAACTGTCCATAAAATAATAAATCTAATATAATTATCGTACTTGGCATAAAAAATTAAACTTCTAGAATCTTTTTTTAAACGAATATGCGTTTTCCAAAAAATAAAATGAAAATAAATAATTAAAAATCAACAAAATCAGTTATAACGTATTTTAAGACTTTTACATGTTTTTTACTGTATATAGTGTTTTTGTGGGCTATTTATTGAGAAAACAACATTGAAGTTATTATTTTTGAATTTCTTGTAAAATTTCCTTTACTTGAGTTTTACTTTTATTATTCTAAGTTAAGAGAAAAAAAAGTTATAAGACATAGATCAGTTATTTCTATTAAATTTGACTCTTCGACTCAACTTAATAGGCCCGGGGGCACGGGTTAACCTTAACGGATCGGTCCCAAATTTTACACAGCTCATTTTTTTGACCATTAAAAAAAAATCAAGGGGTAGCATAAAGAAAAAAAAGACATTCGATTTTTGAGGGCTACCCTAATGTACATATAAATAAGAATATGCTATATTTCAATGACATTAATTGTTAACAATGAAAAAATACCAATGGATATTATAATTATGATAATATTTAACTATAATAATTAAATTAATTACAAATTAAATATATGAACGTATTCCTTAATTTTTTTAAAAGTATTTTATATAAAAAAAAATGAATGTAATGAATATTTTAGTTTTAACAAAACATTTAATTTTTAATATTTTATAAAAAATATTCGATTTGACCAATCATTGTTTGCACGATAACCCTCCCCCCAAAAAACACATTATTATTATTATAAATAATTTTTTCGATAAAGTTAGAACTTTATGCATTATAAAAAAAATTTAAACAAATATGAGTGTTTATATACATTTTTTATATTTTGAAAGGTAATAGCATTAAAATATTTATATTGTATAATAACTTTCTCTAATGCATTGGTTTTAATGAATATAATCAAATAGGTTTAATAAAACTATATTTCAATTATTAAATACAACTTTTTAGGGATTATTTGAAATTGATACTAATCATTTTAATATCCAAGAACAATATATACTATAATAATTAAATTAAAATAGTTTGTGACGTTATATAAATAATTTATTTTTTAACATCCTAGACCTTATACAGCTTTTATTCGTATTAATGAATATTTATAATTTAAACTAAGTTACTATCAAACACTAAGCAACGACATTTATTGAATTAGCTTCTTTAAAAATTTAGCATATTTTTATGTATAAGTATTTATTATAATTAAGGAAAATACAATTAGTATGTATTTACCACTAAGAGTTTGCCGTTCCTAAAAATTGCAATCTTAAGCACTAGCTTATTATGTTTACTTGGAAATCCGACACTGTATGTGGTTGCTACTGGGTATAGAATCCCAGTTCACCATACATTTATTAGTTTTTTAATTACTTATTACTGTCAATTAACATGAAGGATATAATCTACTTTATCAAAAGCACGAAAAACAGAGCGCCGGTCGGTGAATACATACTGTTTACTATCATAGATATTGACCAGCAATTTCTCTCATACGGGTTACTTGGACACTCGAGTACCCTTTGCGACTTATGCCATTCGATAGGAAATTTTATAAGCTATAGTTGATGTATAATTATTAAGTGAACACGCCTCGGAACTTTGTCAAAAGTACAATATAATATAACATTTTTATTGAACTAAGTAGTGCCATCTAGCGGTGTATGTTATAGTTATCTGATAGAAATTACTATAAAGGAATTGCTAACTTCATACACATAACTATGTCACGATAACACTGTGCCGCGACCCCACTATGCCATCGTTTTTATTATTAATTTGTAAATAACTATTTATTAAAATTATTGAGTGGTATGTACAATAAAATCTGTAATTAAGTCATATATAAATAGATATAATTAGATAACTAATTTATTTTTACAAGCCTACATATAGCAACAGTTTAAGTAAAAATAATTTTAGAAATATAATTTTTATCTTTTACTCTTATTTTGTTATATCTTTTGAGTATGTAATTTATGTGCTTGAAATAAGAAAATGTATTAATTTTTAATCCTAGTTATTAAAGTCAAATAAAGATTAATAAATTCTTACACAAAATCTCCTAAAGTACAAACAAAAATATTATTTTAATAGTTAAATTTCTTTTTAGAATGTAATAAAAACATACTTTATCATAGTTAATTAATGAAAAATAATGTCTAAATATAAAATTGAAATTTGATTCATGATGTAATTAATTTTTGATAGTTATTTTAAAAATTGGAATAAGTATTACATTTAAATGATTTAAACTTTTGTATAAGAAATATTTTTTTCATTTTTAATAAGTAAAAGTTAAATTGCTATCTTAATTTTTCAGGTCATATATAGTATTTATATAGCTTAATTTAAATAGAAGCTGTTAGATATGAATAAAGATTGCCAGATAAAACAAGAGATATGTGTTATAACTCATGATAATGATTACATTGACGTTCCATTAAGTAAATCTGCAGTGAAGTAAGGTTATTTTTTTTTTAATGGATTCATATCAGATTAATACTGTGGTTATTTTCTTAAAGTTCATAATTCAATTTAAGCTATTTTCGAGAAGAGTAAAAAAAATTTTTTTTGTTTCTATGGTGTCTTATACAAATGAAAATTTTGGTAGTGAACCTTATTGATATAATTAATTTTTACTTTTTGGAAATGAAAAAAAACATTATTTTCTTGACAAATTAAAAACCCAATTATGAGATAAATTTGTTTTTGTATATAAGCCATAAATATATAAAAAGTGTTTATTTTATTTATATTTAAAAAATATGTATTATTTTTTATCATATTTATTGGATTTACAGGTTAAGTTGAGTTGTTTATTATTTATTGTACTTTCAATAAAATAAGTAACTCAAAAACATGATTCCTGACATTTTAAACTTTATCAATTCATTTAGTAAAGTTCTGTTTATTACTTTCTATCTAATGATGCAGACTCTACCTGTGAAATTGTCATGAATTTATTTGAAATATAAAATAAAGTAATACACATTGTAAATCTTATCGGAGATTGAAGTCATTTATCTAATAATTACATTTTTTGACATATATCCTTATTGTATTAATAGTGCAAATGTCTAGAAAAATCCTACGTATTAAATAAATTTTTTTAAATTTTTAAAATTAGTTTAGTTACTTAAAAATAGTTTATGAAAATTATCAAGGTAATTTCTATTCTTTTGATATTATTATTCTATACATTTTTATTTGTTTTAATTATGTATTAGATAAATTAAAAATCAATAAATATATCTAAATATACTTTAAGGGGGGGCGAGGATGACTTTAACTTAGTAATAAATACATATACCTGTACTAAATATAGTTACAGTAATTGATAAATGGGTATTTGTAGATCTTCGTAAATACCAAGTGAATATTCTAGAAATTAAAAATAAATACTTAAAATAAAAGGGACTTTTTAATTTTTTTTTTATATGCTTTTAGTAATTTAAAATTAGAATTAATGTTAAAAGGAAGTATTCATAGATATTTTAATATTAACTAATTTTTTGGGGAGTAATATTGATGTAAAATAGAATCACAATATCACAATTCAATATACAACATATCATAGTTTATTTTATATGAATATTATGATATTTATGACTTAATAAATATAGTTTAAAAAAACACGCTTTTAAAGCACATCGAATTTTAAAGTTAAAAATAATTTTTAAAATAAGCTTAAAACAATAATGAACGATAAATACTAGTATTATTGTGATAAAAGCGTCAGGCGCTCAATATACGAAAAATATGGCACAAAGCACCCACGCTTTTTTCACAATAATACTAGTACTTTTCAGTCATTATTGTTTTAAGCATATTTTAAAAATTATTTATAACTTTTTAGTTTGATGTGCTTCAAAAGCGGGGTTTTTTAAATTATATTTATTTTTCACTTTTTAGTTACATGTTATGATAGTAGTTACTATCAATATCATGGTTGTAACGGGTAAAGGGGAATCAGGGTTCGATTCCGGAGAGGGAGTCTGAGAAACGGCTACCACATCCAAATATCAGGCGCGCAAATTACCCACTCCCGGAACGTGGAGGTAGTGACGAAAAATGACGATACGGGAATTATCCTTTGTAATCGGAATAAATACCCTAAATATCTCTTAATGAGAATAAAGCGTATTAATATATAAGTTTTAATAGTAATTAGAATATATATATATATACATGTAAAGCGACTTAAGTACGTAAACGTATCATGCACGAGGTATAGCCGTGTTTTGTGGGCGGGCGGGGTGGGGGGAACGTTATACACGAGGTATATACGGCGGCAGCGGCGTCGGCTGTAGGGATATATAAATGAATATTAACATATACGTATGTATATATATTAATATTAGTGACGATGATAAGAATATATAATCTTCGCATAATATCGCGGCACTTTCGCTGGTGTCGACGACGCGATGTCCGGCGTGATCCTCGTGCGTCAAAAGGTTAGCAGCGTAGATGACGACGGTGCGCGAGTGTAGATCGGTTTGTTGACGTTGTCACTTTGACAACGAGAAGAAGACTCCGTATCATTAGCAGCGGGACGTCGTCGGCCGTGTGGCACTTGCTGGACTTTGCGCGTTGGTCAGTCAAATACTCATAAAATAGGGCGACGGCTGATAAAGGTGGCACGAGTCGTGGGGCATCGTGTATAACGAAACGACGCGGGCCGTGTCAATCACAATAAAAATTTGTTATATATATATATATATAATTGATGACACGCACGCGTATACAGGTACGAAAACCAAAAATAAAAATATATAGAAAAAAAATGTGTTTGGTGCGAGAGGTGAGCGGGGTGGGTTGAATGCGTTACGACAGTCTAGTCTCAAGGTCATACACGACGGGATACGCGACATAATAACACGTGCCGCGTGGAGTTACAAACTTACAACAAACATACACGTGAAACTAATATAAGCGTGTTAAAAAGAAATAACATAACTTGTAAAAAATAAAAATAACAATAAACCGCAATTTTAAATTCTTCCTTTTAAATAATATACAGAGTGATTATTTTACTATTGACCACTAGCTAGAAGCTTCTAAAATAATTATAATTTTTTTTTTTTGACTTATTTAAGAAATATTTATTTCTTGATTTATAAGTTTATAAAGATACTAACTTAAATTTTTTTTAAATGCCAACATACAAATTTAACTAGTTTATATAATAGAAAATGATTCAACTATACTGGTCGATAACAACTTTTGTTCCAATAGTTCAGGAGTTATGAATATTTTTATGCCTAAGTCGGAAGAAGTGCGACAGAGAAATATATAACCCAATCTGCACGTCGCCTCCAGTTTAAATTAAAAAATATGAATAACTTTCGAAGTACTGGTATTGTTATTTTCTATTATTTAAACTAGTAATATATGTGTGCTGCCTTTAAAAAAAAAGGAAGTTCGCACCCAAGTGATATGAAATAGGTCTAAATAATATTAACTACTTATAAGTCCTATTGAATAGTTTCTTTCATTCTATATTCGCTCTAATTATTTAATCTTTGATTAACTAGATTTGAATTTGAATTTATTTTAACTTTTTATTATACATTCGTTTACTCTGATAGTTTTTATGTTATGTATAATAATTATTTAATAAAGAAATAGTATAAAAATTATTGTTTTTAGTTGATTAGTGTATATTATTTTACAAATGATTATTGTTTGTTTATTGAGTTTAAATAGATATTAGTTAGAAAGATTGGGGTCCATCAAAATAAAAGCACAAACTTCTAAACTTAAATTATTTAATTTAAACATGATTGTGAATGTGTTAAAGCTTTCATGGATTATCTTGTTGCTTGAAGTGCTTAAGGATGTATCCATGTTTACAGTTGAGTTCTGACTCATTGCAGAGTTCATCTTCAGAATGATGGTTGCTAGTCGGTGGCTGAAACTATACTGGCGGCTTATCTTGATAACAATCTGCTTTTATACAATTGATAACACCTGGTTTTTACTAACGTTGTTGACAATATTTCAGTTTTTGACTAACGTTGTTTTTTACGGCATTCTTGACATTTTGGTCATCCTTTCCTACACCGACAATTATCTGTTACGTTGATTGTAGCCTCTTCGTATTTTGATTTATTTTCAATGTTCTTGGTTGATTTTCTTTTTGTCTGGTGTATGATAGTTAACCATTTTTGCTGATTTTCCATCCAACTTCTCTGTTGAAATATTCCGTACATAATTCGATTTCTATTGCTTCCTTGTACATCCGTTTGTCAAAATGAGTTTCTTTGTTTAGTATTTTCACTTTATCGAATTGTTGGATGTCATGTCCTCTGTTTTTAGCTATGTTCAGATACTGAAGATTTTTCTGTCCTTTGGTACTCCACGTCTTTTTTTAATGTTTCCTTATTCTTGTTGCAGTAGCTTTTCCTGTTTGTCTAATGAAAATCTTGTGTGGTAAATTTTACATTGGACATTGTTATCAAGATAAGCTGCCTGTATAGTTGCAGTTACCGACTAGCAACCATCACTCTGAAGATGGGCTCTTCAATAAGTCCGAAACGTCAGAACTCAACTGTAAACATGGATATATCCTTAAACATAATTTTTATACATAAAATTATATTTAGAAACTATTATAATATGTTTAACTTTACTTTTTCTTTTAAAATTTGGTTTTCTTCTCATTTCAGCTATAACAGCCTTTTTGTAAAAAGAGAAGAGAAGAAAGAAGACGATAAAATAATTAAATGTTACTTTGAAACTTTAAAAGTTGAAGGGGACCTTTTACTTGATTATAAAAAAATTAACGAAGTGAATTCTAAGCCACTGTTTGTTTGCCACCATTGCCAAGAGAAATTTATTTTTAAAAAAGAAATTATCCGTCATTTAACGAATTTTCACAATAATAACTCTAATTCTGATTTTAATTCGGGAAAAAAAAATTCTCCCCAAAGTCAAGTGGAATGCTCGGATTGTAAAAATACTTTTAACAGTAAATTTATACTCAATAGACATCGTAGGATACACACGGGACTTAAACCCTATGGATGTGTTACTTGTTTAAAAAAATTTTCCCGAAGTGATATTCTTAGAAAGCATCAGGAACAAGAACATAATTATAAGAAATATTATAAATGTCAATTTTGTTCGAAATCATTTTGCCGTAAGGCTAACCTTTTAAAACACATAAAAGTAATGCATATCAAAGGTAGTGCAATAGTGTGCCAAGTATGTTATACACATTTCACCAAAAAGGCTAATCTCACTCGACATATGAATAATGTACACTCAAATGCAGAGCAAAAAGGTAAACCTACTCGTTGTTTTGAATGCAACGAGTGCTCGAAATCATTTATGTCCAATGCAGATTTAAAACGACACAAATACGTTCATAGCGGTATGAAACCTTTTAAGTGCAATATATGTTTAAAATCGTTTTCTCAGCGTATATCACTCACAATACATTTACGTATTCATACTGGAGAAAAGGTGTTTAAATGTGGAAAGTGTTTATTACTATTCTCTCGATCTGACAGACTGAGAGCTCATGCTGTATCAAATGTATGCCAAATGTGGGTCGATGAGAAATCGATCCTTTGATAATCATCTGTTATATTATGTTTTAACATTAATACTTTTAAAATATAGGTACCTACTAGATATAAAATAATAAGTTTTAATTTTATTTACATATAAATTAATAGATAATATATAAAAGGCGTATTTCAGTTTTGCTGTCCAGGATTAATTAATTTATAATATTTTAATGCTACTAAAAATTTTAATTTTTCAGATTTCAATTTATAAAGATACCATATTTTGTTTAAGTTGAAAAAGTCATTTGATTATAAGATATGGCCCTTAAAATGTACTGTCTCATATTATCGCCACCTTTGGTCTCTTCTAAATACGTCAATGTCGTACATTATCGACTTTCGATTTGTGTGGTTGTGCATAATGAATTATCGTGTATTTCAAAGTTCATTTTATCCAAGGGTTTGAATTTAATAATAAAATTTAGTAACCCTAAAGTTAAAGAAATGCCTCACTAAAAAGGGAGAAATCGAGCATTTATAAATCACAACGCAAATGATGTGATAAAAGTTGCGTAGGACAAAAAAAAAAAAATGTAAAAAAAACGGTAGCACAGTGGGGTCACGCCACAGTATGGACGTGGCATAGTTGGTACAAGTATAGATGGTATCTGACAGTGATTAAAATCATTATCATAAGAAACGCTTCGATGCAAATCTGTAGATAGTATTGAATTGTGAGATATTGATAAATTATTTCAAAAGCAATAATAACTCTTATTCCCTTAATTTTATCCCGATTAGTTATTTGGTCTCTAATTATAATATATGAATAAATAATAATAATAATTAAATTTAGTATGAAATTGATATTCAATAACTCAATATTTTATTTTTACGGAGATATTATAAAATAGTAAAGAAATTGTATATTTCTTTACTTTTAACGCATATAAAAATTTAAATGGCTTGATGCAATGCTTTTCAATAAAAAATGTTTGTTGCTTATAACAAAGTTATAAGTTTTATACACTGGACTACAAGGACCATTCATCAAACAAAAATATACTTTTCTAAATCAACTTTTCGCGATGTTTTCAAATGTGCAATTAGACTTTTTTTATCGCTTCTAAGTTTTAATATTATTACTTATTATTAAAAAATAAGTATTTATTTATATAAAAAATAATTAAGAACAAAAAAATTATTTTAAATTAATACTGATTTTGATTATTAATATGTTAAAAATAAGGAAAACTACATATAACACAAAATAGCATATTTTTGCATACAAGTCCAGAGGTTAAATTTTTTTTTCAAATTAAAGTATATTACATAAGCTTTAATTTAAGGTAGATATAAAAGTGTCAGTCTTATTCCAAAAGCTACATGATCTGCTATTTCCTTATTTATATCCTGATTAAGAAAAAGTATGTCGAATGAAAAAGGGATATAAATATTATTTCTCATAAAAAAATTGTGTTGATCCATACACTTTTCAAAAATTTATAGCATTATAAAGTTAAAAATGTAAAAAATCCCAAACTTGTAATAAATCAAAAATTGTATTTGCCTGAATCTCGCCAGAACCACTCTAAATTTTTGGGAACGTGTTAACGTCAACCTATCGGGATCAAATTTTGCACAGTTTATTTTTACATGTATTAAAACAATTTTTTGGTGCGCGTAAATAGAATTTTGAAAATTTGTATTTTAAAGACACCCTAAAAAACTTAGTATTTTTAACTTCAATGCGCAGTTATTGTTGAATATACTTTTTAGTCATATTATTTTCCGGAAGTTTCTTACAATAGCGCCCAGGTTTGTGTTGACTCAATGGATGCCCAGCTTCTGAGTTGTGTTATAATTCAAAAAAATAAAAGCAAAAAAGGGGTTGTTAAAATATAAATAATGAAAATGAATGATGAATATTTGGGCTTAGTGAGAACCTGATGTTGTGGTTCTATCGGGGTCGTATGGTTCGAGGGTTTAGAACAATAAAGACAAG